CTGATTTTGGGTTTTGTCTGTTCTTCTTTTTCCAGTTCTGTTAGGTGCGCTGTTAGAAGGTTTATTTGAGATTTTTCTTGTTTGTTGAGGTAGGCCTGTAGTGCTATAAACTTCCCTCTTAGAACTGCTTTTGCAGTATCCCATAGATTTTGGCATGTCATATTTTCATTTTCATTTGTCTTCAGGTATTTTTTGATTTCTCCTTTGATTTCTTCATTAACCCAATCGTTGTTCATTAGCATTTTGTTTAATCTCCACATTTTTATGACTTTTCTGATTTTCTTCCTGTAGTGGATTTCTAGTTTCATACTATTGTGGCCAGAAAAGATGCTTGGTGTTATTTCAATCTGCTTAAATTTATTGAGGCTTTTTGGTGGCCTAATATGTGACCAATCCTGGAGAATGATCCATGTGCATTTGAAAAGAATGTGTATTCTGCAGTTTTTGAATGGAATGTTCTGTATATATCTACTAAGTCCATCTGGTCTAATGTGTCCTTTAAGGCCAATGTTTCCTTATTGATCTTCTGTTTGGATGATCTACCCATTGGTGTAAGTGGAGTGTTAAAGTCCCCCACTATTATTGTGTTACTGTCCATTTCTCCTTTTATGTCTGTGAACAGTTGCTTTATATTTTTAGTTGCTCCTATGTTGGGTACATAGATATCTACAAGTGTTATATCCTCTTGTTGGATTGTTCCCTTTATCATTATGTAGTGACCTTCTTTGCCTCTTGTTATAGCTTTTGTTTTAAAGTCTATTTTGTCTGCTGTAAGTATTGCTGCCCCAAAGTTCTTTTCATTGCCATTTGCATGGAATATCTATTTCCATCCCTTCAGTTTCAGTTTGTGAGTGTCTTTAGGTCTGAAGTGTGTCTCTTGTATGCAGCATATATATGGGTCTTTATTTTTATACAATTTGCCACCCTATGACATTTGTTTGGATCATTTTGTCCATTGACATTTAAAGTAGCTATTGATAAGTATGTACTTATTGCCATTTTGTTACTTTTTTTCTGTGTGTTTTAGTAGTTCTTCTCTGTTCCTTTCTTCTCTTGCTCTCTTCCCTTCTGGTTTGATGGCTTTCTTTAGTATTATGTTTGGGTTCCTTTCTTTAATTTTTTGTGTATATATTATAGGTTTCGGATTTGTGATTACCATGAGGTTCATATATAATAACCTACCTATATAACAGTCTATATTAAGTTGATGGTCTCTTTAGTTTGACATCTTTCTAAAATCTCTACTCTTTTACTCCCCTCCTCCCACATTTTATATTTTCAATATCATATCCAACCTTTTTGTGTGTGTGTGTGTGTATCTGTTACCCTCTTATCATGGAAATAGGTAATTTTAGTACTTTTGTCTTTTGACCTTCATATTATCTTCATAGGTGGTTGATCAGCTACCTCTACTGTATTTTTGCCTTTACCAGTGATTTTATTGCTTTTTTTTTTTTGATAATTTTCTTATTCCTATTTGTGGTCTTTTCTTTCCCACTTAAATAAGTCCATTTAGCATTTCTTGTAAGACGGTTTTCTTGGTGATAAACTCCTTTAATTTTTGCTTGTCTTGGAAACTCTTTATTTCTCCTTCCATTCTGAATGGGTAGAGTATTCTGGGCAGCAGGTTTTCTTCTTCCAGCACTTTAAATATATCATGCCATTCCCTTCTAGCCTGTAAGGTTTCTGCTGAGAAGTCAGCTGACAGCCTTATGGGGTTTCCTTTGCATGTAATTTCTTTACTTTCTCTTGTGGCTTTTAGGATTCTCTCTATCTTTAATTCTTGACATTTTAATTATAATGTCTCTTGGTGTGGGCCTCTTTGGGTTTATCTTGTTTGGTGTTCTCTATGCTTCTTGTACCTGGGTGTCTGTTTCCTTCCTTAGATTTGGAATGTTTTCAGCTATTATTTCTTCAGATTGATTCTCAGCCCTTGTCTCTCTCTTCTCCTTCTGGGACACCCATAATATGAATGTTAGTGTGCTTGATGTTGTCCCAGAGGTCCCTTAGACTGTTCTTGTTCTTTTTAATTTTTTTTCTTTTATCTGTTCAGCTTGAGTGATTTCCTCTAGACTTTTGTCCAGCTCGCTGATCCATTCTTCTGTATCATCTACTCTGCTATTGAGTCTCCCTAGTGAATTTTTCATTTCCAGTATCGTATCCTTCATTTCTGATTAGTTCTTTTTTATATTTTCCAGTTCTGTGTTGACTTTCTCACTGAGTTCATCCATTCTTCTCCCAAGATCACTGAGCATCCTTATGACTTTTTGCTTGAACTCTTTGTCAGGCAGATTGTTTATTTCTGTTGCATTTAATTCTTTTTCTGGGGTTTTGTTCTTTTCCCTTACTTGGAATGTATTCCTTTGCCTCCTCATTTTGCCTCTCTTTCTGTGCTTATATCTATGTATTAGGTGAGTCAAGTACGTCTCCTGATCTTGAAAAGCTGATCTTATGAGGCCCAGTAGTGTGCTTCCCTCTCATCACCAGTTCCATGTGTTCTAGGAGTGACCCTTGTATGGGCTACATGTGTCCTTCTGTTGTGGCAGGGTTGCTCTTACTGCAGGTGCCCAGGGAGGCTAGTCTGTCCCCTTGGCTGGTTCAGCTGTGTATGGCTGCTATGGATGCTTCAGTCACTTTATTGGGTGTGGGGAGCCCCAGCACAATTGGCTACAAGGTCTAATATCACTTTCCTGTTGCAGTTTTTCCATCAAGTGAGTAAGCCCCCAACATGGCTGGTTGCTAGGCTCATGGGCTTACAATTGCTTTTGTCAGCTTTCTTAGGATTTCAGTTGAGTGTATCTGGCCCCAGGCATGGGAGCTCCAATTGTTTCAGGCTTTGGAAGATGGGTCTCATCCCCTATGTGGCTGTTTAAGAAGCACAAGTCTTCTGCAGATGACAAGCCCCACCACCTACAGGGCCACATGCACATCAACACAGTCCTCCCCTGTGCATGCACCCTGACTCCCTGAAGCAGACCTGGTTGCCCCACTGCAGAGGCCCCACACTCTCTACCAATGCCCCACACACTCCACCTGCTCCTTGTACGTGCCCTGCCATGCAGAAGCAGACTCACTCGCCTGGCTCCAGAGGATCCAGGCACCCAGACTATACAGGGTCACAAGTTGCCCAAGGGCTTGCTGTTGGGTAAGGCCAGTCCATAGGGCAGGCTACCTGCCCTTGCTGAGCTGGATTAAATCAGTGCTCTATTGGGTGGGGCAGACCCTGAGCTAACAGCCCAGGGGAAGAACTCCAATGGTGTTTGCCAGCATCTGTGTCAGCATGCCTGTACTAGGTCACAGGAATGGCTGCTGCCAATGTCTCAGTCCCTGGAGATGTCTCACCTATCACTGAAATGCACCCAGAGCCTATCAGGTGAGTTTCTTTTCACCAAAGGACTGTGCACTTTTCTTTCTGGTGATTTTAGGTTGCTTTCTGAAATGAGTGAATTTGTGTAGGGGCTATTTATGAGAACAGCTTTTTTCCTCTTATGTCTGACAGCTTTTATGAGGCTATTCCCATTGTTGTTAGTAACCAGAAAAGCCAGACATTATGACACTTGTCTCGGTTGTACTGAGTCCAAAGGATGCTTATAGTGGTAACACTCCCCTGCTCAGGTCCTCCACTTCTCTAGGGAAGGCTGAGTACCTTAGGATTGCTCCTGGCCAGCCATGAACTGCCATGGTTTGCAAAAGTGGTTTTTTTCTCTCCAGAAAGGAACTTCTTCCTTTTCCACCTCAGTTGGGACTGTCCCTAGTTGCGGGGGTTCTTTTTATCCAGTTTTCAGTTAAAGGTTGTAAATTTGTTGTGTCTGTGAGAGGAGGTGAATTCGGAGTCTGCCTATGCTGCCATCTTCTTTTTTTGCTCACCCTGGCTCCCACAAGTTGCGTGCAAGCTGCTCCAGGATCATGTGCACAGCTGTCTGCCATAGCTCTGAGGGGTGGGTGGGAATGGGTGGCTCCTACTGTGCTAACTGCTGAAATGGACTGAAATTAATCACAATTTACCATCTAAACCTTCCCCTGGAAGTTTCAAGCCTTCAATAGACTTCAGAGTTACAAAACAGTTGCATCAGACAGATTCTGCCAGTCCAATTGTCATCTATGTGAGGAGACAGATTTCCAGTGCTTCCTGTTTTCCCACCTTCCCAGAATCTTTCTATATGCATTCTTAATTAATTTTATCACCTCCATGATAATAGTCAAGCATCTTAACAGCCACTAACATAGACTTAGAGCAGAAGACATGTGTTCATGTCCTAATTTAGCCACCTACTAGATGTACAAACTGGAGCAAGTTATTTAATATCTCTGACCTCAGTTTTTCACCAATAAAATGGAGATAATAATAGTTTCTGTATCAGAGTCAGGAAGAATAAAATGATAAATGAATATAAAGCCCTTAGCACAGAGCCTGGTATAGTAAACACAAAATAAATATTAGCTATTATGTTGAACCATGTGAAATTGCTGATATTTGATCCTTTTTTTTTACATAAACAGCCATTTCACAGGTTCATCCTATACTGCTATTATTTCATAGATGAGAAAACTGAGATTCAGAGAGTTCAAGTAATTTTCTCCACATCTTAAGCCAATAAGTGATAGTGAAGGGATTTTGATCTTCTTAAAGTCCAAATTAGAGTGTGCAGCAACCTACACACTGTGCTATTAGTTTGGTAAATATTCTTAGCAAAAATTTGGCACTAATAATCAGAAGGACTCTATTGACTGGTTACATTTAGGGCCATCCTAAATGCAATGAAAAAGATTTTTCCTTTCAACTAAATAACATTTCTCATAAAAATACCCCCCAGAGATCTCAGAGCCAGAACCATCCAGATGCCCTCTGATCAGATCATTCATCATGCCCTCAGATCAGTCAACAATTTTTCAGTAACATAGAGCAATTTGAACTTATTTTATGTCTTTTGTCATGATTTAACTGGTCTTTCAGTCAAAAAGTCAATAATGGCCTCTAATTCTTCCTGATTTTGTCCTAGGGTATACGGGTCCTGTGACTTTGGACGACTGTGGGGACATTGACAATACTATGATGCTTCTGTATACCTCTGTGGAGACCAACAAAGTATGTCTTATTTCTTCTCAGGAACTTGGGGTGAAGTGACTGAGTGAGGAGGGATAACTTGGAAAGCAAGCAACAGTAAAGGCATTAGAGAAGTTATGTTTAGAATCTAGAAGGTGGCTTATTTCAGGTTCACGATTATGCCCCACTTAGGGTAGTACTCCTTAATCATTTTGTCCCATAGAACTTCTTCAGAACATCCACTCTATTTACTGTATAAAAAATACTCACCCAGAATACATTGATATAAAGACTAGACTATTGATGGGATACCAATGAGGGGATGACAGTTCTCGCCTAAGAATTGTTTATGCATTTCCACAGCTAAAAATTTAAATGAAACTTGGGCCAGCCTGGTGGCACAGCAGTTAATTTCACACATTCCGCTTTGGCTGCCCGGGGTTTGCTGATTCAGATCCCGAGTGCAGGCCTATGCACCACTTAGCAAGCCATGCTGTAGCAGGTGTCCCACATAAAGTGGAGCAAGATGGGCACAGATGTTAGCTCAGGGCCAGTCTTCCTCTGCAAAAAGAGGAGGATTGGCAGTGGATGTTAGTTCAGAGCTAATCTTTCAAAAAAAAAAAAAAAGTAAATGAAACATTTCCTATTCTCTCCATCTGACCTCTCATGAAAATCATCAATTGTGTAATCCCTCTGGCACATATAAACAGTCCTGTAATGTTATGCTTTTAAATATGTCTTTTCTCCTCACCTACATAGTAGGTTCTTTAAAGGGAGTGGGTATTACCTCTCCATGTCTCCAGTGCTTAGCTTCTCATGTGGCACATAGTTCATGGCTGATTATCATTTAATATAAAAACAAAATACCTGTCTTTATGTCACCCCAAATTGTGCCCATCGCGAATTAAGAAAGCCACTGTTCCAGCAAACCAAATGATCAGTAGAGAGCTTTTTCTTTAAGACATTTTGTCCTGACATAACTAGGAATCTAAGAGAAAAAGTATTCATTTTGTCATGTAGTTTTTCAGTGTGAGCATTATGACATACTTAAGTCGTATATTGCGTGTACATATTGACCTAGCTTGGTGAAAGATATTTGTAATGGAAAATGTGGCAAACTAGAGAAAAGATGTCCAGATTGAGAAAGTTAAACCAGAAATTCAAGGGCAGCATTTCCGAAAGGTAATCCATAGTTTTTAGTTACTATCTTGAACCTTTAATATAATGCTATATTTTGCATACATTCCATGTGAATACCTTAAAATAAGATCCGCTGAATCGGTGACTGGTAGTAGCTACAAAGATCGCTCCTCTCTAAGTTATTTGCACCTGGGATGATGCCTTTGCCTCCCTTGGAGAGAGATGGATATATATTGTGAGATCCTGTCAGCCTCATATCTCCTCTTCAAAATGAAAAATGTTGTTCTGTGCACTTACTCTCTCTGAAGGCAAATCTGGTTGAATATTTCAATTATTTAATGACATCAATTGTGCTATGTAATATGTATATATGGGGAGATCAGGGGTTAATCCTCAAAATATAAAGCTATAGATACATTATTCTATACCCAGAGTAGGTCTCAATAGAGATTTAATGTGCCATACCCCAATACATAGAATATTTCCTATCCTCACTATATGCAATTGTACATTCTGCTTTCAAGTTGAACACACTTTTGAGAATGTAAAATTTTTGTACAGAATGTCCTGAGAGAATGGTGGCAAATTTAGAAGGATGGTCATTTTCAGATGTCTCTAACAAAGCTGATTCAATATATGCAGCAGTGATTTAAGGATATATTAATATTCCCATTGGCAGATTACTTGAAAAAGAAACCTTTTATTTTACAAACCTAGTTAGCATTGTGTTTAAGAAAGCGTGTGAGAGCAAAAGGATAGAAGAGATTCAAAAATTATGAAATTGACAGAATTTAGGAAATGTAGAATTATTTCAGTGCCCCTTGACAAGTATCAAAATGGATGATGGATTTTATCTGACATGCATTTTCTCAAGACATCATTTTCAACAGCAACTTAATATTGTGGCAAACAGTGGTGCTCACTGTCATGTGATGTGGAGCTGGCTATCTAATTTCTCTTGGCCTCTGTTTTAACACTTGTAAAACGAAAGACGAACTAGTTCTCTAACGACCCAAAGAATCTATGTTGGGCAGGGTTGCTCGTAGGGTCATGAAGAAACAGAAAACGAATTGACCCACATGGACCTTAAATCCGTGTTCATGCTGTAAACCAATAAGTGGATCCTAACAAGCTCCTGGCTGGTTAACAATTACCTTGTTTCACTGAGAAGCGTTACTATGAAATACAAATGTCATCGGGCAGGACAGTCGATCTCATCAGAAGTCGTTCTAAAATGTCTTTTTTTGTTCATCCTTCTTTTCCATGCCCTGGCACAGTACAAGGTTCTTTTGACCTATGACACCCACATAAATGGAACTAAACCAGTAGATATGAGCCCCACATTCATGTGGAAGAACCATAAGCTTCCTAATGATATTCCAGGCCAGGGTAAGTATCCTTAGTGAATTTTCTTGTCCTGAAATGGTTTTTCTCGTAAAGAGAGCAAATTCTGTGGTTTATTCAGTTAGCCTGTGTTTTTTGCTTTGTTTTGTTTTGTTTATTGTCTGAGTTAGATTTGCCAGGGTTGTAAGTCTAGACTCTACTTCCCTGCACAATGAATGATATTATAATTCCGATTAAACACTGAAAATATTCTTGTTCTAATTTAGCTCTACCGATCTTTACTATGTGTCCTAGCTACCATTTGACATAAACTATCCTATAGAAAGCCAGGTTTGACGGGCAAAATGAACACAGAGACATATATTCTTATTCCATTTACATTTTACTGGAATAAACTCAAAGAGTAAGTATTTCAGCAAAGAATACTCGATGACAGCAGGCTGAGAGGTGGTCGGTGAGAAGGGCCTCTAAAGTCTCCCCCATTCTCTCATAGGACATATTTCTTGGTTTATAAGGATGGTTACTCACCTACTTAAGATGAGGTCCTATCATGTCATGGAAAGCCCTAACAGGACCAGGCCTTCACCTGTACAAGTTGCAATGCAACTATCTAACGTTGGCCATCACTAGACAGGGCCAGCCAGGTATCTCCTGGGCAAGCAGGTCTCAGGACAGTCTGTCCATGACTGACTTGGCCAAGGCTTATCACAATGAAAAGTAATTCAGATTAGTAATCTATTTTTAGGAAAAAAGTTTAAATTTGGACAAATATTTACACCTAAAGATGAAAAAAAAGTGGTAATACCATTAGTGAAATGACTTAGAAAATTATGATATATTCATAATTGGAGTATCATGCAACCAATTAGAAATACTTATTTACAAAAAATTTTAAATGACGTGAAAACTTACGATGTAAAGTAACAGAAAAATACAGCTTTTTATTTGATGAGACTCTAACTTTTTAAAATAATTTATAGAAATAAGATGTCCTAAAAAATATCCTAAAATGTTAACAGTGATAGGCTTTGCGTAATAGGATCCTAGAAGAATTTTCTTTCTTTTTTATATTTCTCTTAATTTTCCAAATTTTCCATAATTACTGTATTAATTTACCATTTTTTTAAATATTTTAAAATATTAAAAATTATAAACTAGAAATAGTTCTATCCCAGCCCCCCCCCACAGCCAGAAACGGTCTGAAAGGTTGATGTGACTTAAAGAGAACAGTTCTGGTTCAGTGGGTTTGCTTGTGTTAAAGCCATAGCTATGTTTCTAGTCCTCTTCAGTTCCATGAGTCAAATTTGGTTGAAAATGATCCCTGTGTTTTAATCCAATAGGTATGAACCATTGGCTAAAGCAAAGAGGGAGGTGGGAAGTTGAGAGCCCATTTTTCTAAATAATAATCAATCCTGAGCTGACTTCAGATTTACTGTTATCTTGCTTTTTAAAGTTGATTTCTTTTCTTTAGCAAGTTTTTTTTATTGTCTCTAGAACCATCTTCAAGCTTCGTAGGTTTTGAATCAAACTTGACTTCTGAAATATATCTCTTTTCTCATGGGTTTCTGCAACTCCCTACTTCTTTTCATGACTTTTTGAATTGAAATTGTTTTTCTTTCTCCTTAATTATCACTTTCAGTGATGACGTTGTGTTTAGATTTTTTTAATGTATTTCTTTAAGAGGTTTTAGATATTTTGGTAATGGAATAGAAGGTCTGTGATTTGTAAAGTGATAAACTACTCAAAAAGAAATTTTTGAGAGAGTTCTCATTATTTACCGAAAAGAAATCACATCCAGAATTCATATTATGTACGACAGGGACAGTGCATCATCCTGGGCAAATTCACTTCATCCTCAGTTAACTAGAAAATTCAGTTAGCCAGAGCTTTTCATTACTTGTTACTACGTTTAGTTTTAAACTTTACAAATAAATTAACTCAATCTTCCAAATGGTACACAAATAAGATATTCATGTCTGGTCTTTTTATCTGTGTACACAACTGCCAACTAAGCAGCAGAATGTTTCATCTGGACATTACACCATGCATGAATGAAATATCTTTTCCTTCATTCCATAAAGACTCAATGCCAGGCATGTTCTAAGCATCTGGGACCCAGGAATGGACAGCGCAGATTTGGTTCCTGTTCCTCACCCAAGCCTTCATCATCTGCCTTCTGGGTTACGATAACATCCAACTGACTTCCTGCCTCAGTCCTGCCCCCTGTCCACTTCCAATCCAACCAACACGGCCACCAGAATGGCGGCACGAATTCAGTCATGTTACTGAATTGCTTCTGACACTTCATTTGGCAGCTCCACTTTACCTACAGAATGAAGTCCAAATGACGACTTATAGCACAAAATGTCTGCTATCTTCCTATGTCTCCAGCCTTATTTTTCATCTTACTTGAAATCTCTTGCCCACTCTCTCCATTTCCTTCTACTTCCTTAAAGAAAGCATCTTGCAACTTCATACCCCTGTGTCTTTATTGATGCTACGCCCTCTACTAAAATTTATCACTGCTCTGTACAACCGGTAAACAACTGCTCATCCCCAATATTTAACTTGAATCTCACCTTTCCTAAGCTTTTTCTTAGCATCTCAGGAGATTATTGTTCTTGCCCTTATCCTGCCAGACTTCCAGCATAGTACTTATATCACACTAATTTGTTTACACATCTTTTAATACCATACACTATGTAAGTGTAGGGTCCATTCTTTATTTATATCTCCTTGCCCCAAAACACTGCCTTGGAAGGAAGGACAGACAGATGGACACACAATATGAGATAATGATGGTTATGTTCCTAGTCAGCACTAATCTATACAGTGTTAATTTCAGTCACTTTATTTCTCTTCCCTAAGTATGAGTATCTTCCTCTGTTAAATCAGATTTGTTAACTGATCCCAAGGCATTTTTTCCAACTATCATGTCCTATGACCTTGGGGTTATAAACTCAATCTACATTCATTGTAGATCAAGTTAAATAGAATGTGATAGCCACAACATCCATGAAAAGGCGGCAGCATCTTAACCTTAGAACTAATGTGATACTGTGACTTATCTAACAAAGCAAATTAAAAAGTAGGTTAAAATAAAAATTCTGTATTTAAATAGTATATAGTATATTTAAATATTATAATTATATTTAATGCAGTGAGATGTCCACATTGTGGGAAGCAGATAGGAATCGAGGTGGGCTGAGGACCCAGCAGATAGGAGGTCCCCATACTCCCTCCCACGCATACTCTAGTCTAGGGGATGTGTAATTTTAGTACTGGTGAGTAGAATCACCTGCACCATTGAAATTGTATTTCTCATGCTCCCTTTTGTTTTTGCATGGGGTTGGGGTATCAGAGTGATGGTAGCGGCATTGGTGGTGGTGGTAATAGAAATGGTGATTATAGTAATGAACAGACTTCACCAGTCATATGTGTCCATAATGCAAATCCAACTCCAAGGTATTAATTTATTTGTGCCCTGATGAGAATAGAAATCCAGCACTCACATTGTCTCTGTTAAAAGTTTCCCCTTAGCAGAAAACAAGATAACAACCAGAGGCAAAGTCATATGTTAGGAAAGCGTAAATCCTTCAAAGTCAGCCCTTAGAGAAAGTTCCTGCAGTATTAACCCTGAGCTCAACCCTCTCCCTCAGAAAAAACGGTTAGTTCATTAGAAGGAAATAATGTGATGAAATGAAAACAGTTTAAAAATATGTGTGACATAAGATAAGTCTAATGGCACAAAAGAAATTTTTAATATGGACTTATTTGTGTATTTTAACATTTGGACACTTTTTCCTCAATACGTTTATTGGATGCCTTTGTCATTTTAATTAATATGCATGAGTTGTTCTGTCAGCTATACATAAAACTTCTTGCTTCCCAACTTTGTAAGATGAAGATGTTAGTGTCACTATCCTTCCTTCTACCTCCTTCCCACATCCTAAATTCTCCTGTATTTTTCTTTAATTTGTCAGGGTTGATAATATTTCTTTGGGAACCATAATGAAGCCCTCTGTCATTTACCTATAAGTTGATTCTGTATGTTGAAAATAGTGAACATTTTCATTATTATTACTATTTATGTAAAGCCAAATAGCATGCTGTAATGATATTTCTTTCTATGTAGCTCCAATGTCTCCCCCTTGTGCCATACACACACACAAAAAGACGGCCTTTAAAGACAAAATTCCAAATTCTCAAAATCAGGCCAAATTTTACTTTGTTTCATTTCTATTTTTTTATTTTTATTTTTATTTTTGGGAGGAAGATTGGCCCTGAGCTAACATCTTTTGCCAATCTTCCTCTATTTCGTAAGTGCGACGCCACCACAGCATAGCTTAATGAGTGGTATGTAGGTCCGCACCTGGGATCCGAACCCATGAACCTCAGGCCACAAAAGCAGAGTGTACAAACTTAACTATACCACCAGTCGGTCCCACTTTGTTTCATTTTTAGACTATGGCTTCCTCGAACAATTTTCCCTAGAGTTTCTGATGGGGTCTCTTTTATTTTTGCTGCAAGAAGAAACATGTCTTCCTCACCATATTTCTGTTATCTTCCAGCCTCTTACACACTCTGTCTGTTGCTTGGAATCCATTCCATTTTTTCTCCTTGAACCAACTAGCTTCCTATTCTAACAGGGACTCTCTGTGGCCTATATGAACCATGACTTTCTTGTACACTTTTATTACTGTTGTTGTCCTTCTCAATCTAGGCTTATTCCTCTGCATACTCAGACTCTGCTTCAATGTTTCCTTGGGTTGGATCCACGTTTTCCTGGATTCCACTTACTCTTCTGTGAGTGTCTCAGGTTACTTCATCTACACAACTCCACCCACGTACTAGTTTTCTAATAAATGAAATTCCTTACAGTCTCCATTGACTTCCCTCAGTGACCCAGCAGAGCTTGGGAAGGACCAGTGGGCAACTCTGTCATTTAATATTCCATGTATACTTACTTCTCTTTCAATTTGTGTCTGTATTAAGAAATAGTTGTTTCTGTCTTCCTCTGTGAGTCCTCCTTAGGTATATTGGTCTCAAGGACACCAGGTAGGCTTCCGCCACCAAAATTATCTGTGCGCTGCAAGCTATTTTATGCTCTTGTGACATTTGGAGATTCCCATAAGAAGGAAATGAGATTTCTAGACTGTAAGGATTGCTGAAATTAAACCACTTTTCCTGGGTGGTTTAATTCCAGACATTTTTCTTCAGAAACCCAGGACACAGGACCTATATTCCCAATGAAGAGGTTAATAAAAGATAAATATTTTTTTAAAAGGGCTCCCCTATCCCTTTCCCCAAATTATATTATGCAATTAGAGTAATTGAAATGTTTTTATTCTCCTTTCAAAGATCCGTACTAATGCATTTTTCACTGTCTTTTCTGCCACAGGACCTCAGATCCTGATGATTGCAGTCTTCACTCTCGCAGGAACTATCATCTTGCTCCTGCTCATTGCTCTCCTGGTGCTGAGGTACCTACCACCCGCTCTGTCCTGCTGTGCTCATCTCAGAGAGGGAGGAAAGGAGAGAGGGGGAGGTCTGATGTCCACTGATGATAATGTATGCTCACAAAGAGGTCTCCAGACAGATCTAAGATCAGGATGGCATTCTTAATCAAAGACTCTATCAAGGGCAGAATATTGCTGAGTGGATAGATTAGAGCTTCGGAGTCAGAGACACCTGAACTCAAATCCCAGTTCTGTGATTTACCAGTCCTGTGGTCTTAAATGTATTATTTAACAACTTAAACATGTTCCTTAGCCTCAGTATCCTCATCTGAACTGTTGTAAGGAGTTGAAATGAGGTATGTATAGTGACTACCATTTAATAAGCTTTTTATAAGTGAAAATAGCTATTTTTGCTGTTTTATTTATATTTTGTGGGAAATTTCAAAGTCTCAATATTGCATAATGTTCAAACTGGAAGAGACTTTAGAAAGCATCTACTCCAAGCCTCCTATTTTAGCATGGGGAAAGAGAGGCCTAGAAAGCCAAATGGCTTGTCTGGAATCATTTCACTAGGTAGTGTGTAGGGACAAAACTAGAACTCAGACCTTCTGACCATGGGATGCATAATTATTCTACTCAACTTGGACATATGAAGTGCCTAGCACAGTGCCAGAGACACAGTGTATACTCAGAAATATTTGTTGAATATATAAATAAATGAGTGAATACCATACTACATCCTAATCTCTGTATGTTAAACCCATGAAACTTTCTATCCTTTTATATTATCAGGATCACTCCCGTTTCCTAACTACCAGAGAACACTTTTCTCTATGTATCACATGCTTTAGTCTGTGTCACTATACTTTTTCAAAATGAGAGAGTCCAGCCCGTTGCATGTCAGTGGAAGTTTTCCCCAGGAAAGGAAGTAAGTTATTCTCTTCAGTCTGAAGGCTCCTGGAACTCCATGTTGCCCAGAAATATAGGAGGTGATCTACAGTGTGTGGTGACCATTTAGCTGAGGGGGAGCAGAAACCAAAATTCAGGGAGAGTAAAGCCAGTCAATAACAAGGTCGCAAATGCGTCTGTTGTCCCTCAGAAACCAAGTCTAAATGGGTGTCAGCTTAAAATGGGGATAAATCACGAGGCAACAGACAGTAATGGGTGAAACAGGCATTTTCCATTTTCTTTAAGCATGAAAGGCAGAGATAGGGCTTCCTAATGGCCAGAGTAATAGCGTGTTCATGAGGACATCTGGAAGACGGATGTTACTCTTGCAGTTTTCCATTACAACAATCTATACAAGAAAAGTAGCAAATGATTTATGGCATCCCTAATTCAATATGAATGACAGCTGGCTCTGTTGGTCTCAAGAGTTTACTGGGGTACAGAGATGACAGCCTGGAAACCTTCAAGGCCTTGATAGTTATCCTACTTGTGTCCAGGTCTTAGAATCATAATTATTGGTCAATAACATTAAAAAATACATTTTTTATATGTATTCAATAGAGGAATACTCAGAGTTAGATGGAAGCGCAGGAAGAGAATAATCATTTCTGCTTAGGGCACATTAAGAAAAGCATCATGAATGACCTTAAGAAGGTGAGTAGGAGTTTGTCAAATGACTACAAGCAAGGGCAAACTCAGGGACAGATAAATACGTCAATGGAAAAGCATATAGATTCTAGAATCAGACGCAATCAAGCGCGAGAACTTGGAAAATGATAGAAGTGACAGTACAAGTCAGTTGGGAAATGATGTTGGGATGGTAGGCTTTAAACATGGAAAAAAATGAAATTAAAACCCTACTTGAAACCTTATACAAGATAGAGTCCATTCCATATGGAGTTTTAAATGGATTAAGGACCTAAATATGAAAATCAAACTTCAAAACTCAGAAGAAATTAATAGAAAATTACTTTATGATCACAGGTTAGGAAAGTATTTCTCAGTCAGGATAAAAAAAAGTGTCATAGAAGAAAAAATATATAAACATGGCCATAATAAAATCAAAACTTTCTATACAACAAAGTTAAACAATAAACTAGAAGGAGGTATTTGTAACACATAAAAGGACAAAGGATTTGTTTCGCAGACTACACAAGGAATCCATGAAAGTTAATAAGGAAAAAACAAAGCAATAAAAAAACAGGCAAAATTATGAATAGACAACTCTATATAATTCTACATATTCTATAAACCAGACAGAAAATATTTGAAAAGATACTTAATCTGTCTAGTAATCTAGAAAATAAAGTGCAAAGCAGAAATTAAACACCACTTCACATACATCATAAAGGTTAAAAAAAAAGTTTAACAGTACCAAACATTGAATATAGAGGAAACAGGAATTCTCGTGATGGGAGGGTAAACTGGTACAACCACTTTGCAAAGCAATTTGGCAATATCTGTAAACTTGAAAGTGCGCATCTCCTACAACCCAAGAATTCTACTTCATTCATACTATCTGGGGGAAACGATTAGAAAATGTTGACATTTTTAATGTTGGGATACATGTTATATTTTCTCTGTGCCTTTCTATTTTCTTTATACATATTTTTTTAAAGACATGGATGCATAAGAGGAACTGGCTTATTTAAGAATCTGGTGTATTTTCTGGAGGCTTAAAAATTAACATTTTTGCCTTTCAAAGTTATCAGATTCAAAATTTTTTTCTCTCCTCTTTCTTTCCTCACTCTTTCCATGTCATCAATTCAGATTCTTTATTATAGTGAAGGAATGCCTTAGTGACGGACCTGAGAATGTGAAACAAAAAGGAAAAAATAATAGAAAAGGCCATCAGAAATCCTTACTGGTCCATTAATGGCCAGCACTCGCCAATTTGAAGAACATGGAGTTACACCATTGGGCTAGCCTCACTTGTGACATGTCTGCCTGAAAATATTAGGGTTCTAAATTTTCCCCAGTGTTCAGAAGCTGAATGGCATAAATACTAATAAAAACCTATTGACTGGCTTTATTCCTTTCCCAGAAAATATAAAAAAGAAAATGAACTTCGTCAGAAAAAATGGTCCCACATTCCTCCTGAAAAGATCTTTCCTCTGGAGACCAATGAGACCAACCATATTAGCCTGAAGGTAAGGCGTCCCTTACCTGTTCAAGAAGGCTAGAGCTGATGCAACGTGCCAGGTATCTGACAAGACTTTAGAGGCATGGTAGGAAATATTCCAAGTAGGGATCACTTGTTTCAGAATCCAAGATTTAGATGTTTTCTAATTCTCAGCTTCCCATTTTTCCCTTAATTCTCTACTGTCCTATATGTCAGATAGTTGATCAAATGAACACTTCCATGGAGACTGAGATAGGGTATGTTACTCATTCTTTGCGTCTGATACAGAAGAGAATGCACATATTGAGAATGTGTCGTGGAAGGGATTTAGGAATGGGTAGAGCATCTAAGTTCCCCTAAACTTTGGATATTAATCTGCCTGTGCTAAGGACGTATGACTTAGCTAGCTCATTGCTGAAGAAAGAGGCCTCTGCTGATATTTTCCCACATTCTCCCTCAGCCAGGAAATAGCACAGCAGGCAATGATAACAACTCACTTCCATTCACTGTAGCCGATGCTGGACCTATGTTGTCTCATCTACTCCTCACAAGGAACTCATGAGTTGAACTTTGCTGATGAAGAAACTGAAGGACAAAGGGTTAAGACACAGGGCAGGGTCACACAGAGCTAGTGAGTAAGAGTACTACAAACAATCATAGCTAACACTGAGCACTTCTTGTGTGCCAGATACGTTGACCCATTTCATCTTCCCCAAGCCCTGTGTGGTAACAGGGCTAGAATTTCAGGAACATGGCCATAATTTGAACCCAGTCTATCTAACTATAAAGCCTAAGATCCTAATGCCTACCATACACCATATTCTTATTAGAGTTTTTATACTAAAGTATACTAAGAGGAGATGGAGAACCAGAACCTCCGCATGAAGGAATTAGCGGGGTCCTTCAGAGTAGGGCCAAGCTGATAGGATAGTGTGACTTGAGATGCCTTCCTGTCTAATGTCAGCAAAAGTAAAATTGCAGCATGGGTCAGGTTCAGCCTTGGAGCTTCTCTACCAGCTCTTGGCACTCGACTCCAAATTCTGCATGCGGCACTCAAATGGCTCAGATCCTCTCATGGCTGTACATGTACTAGTTTTTTCTTTCCTCTGGAAATGCTCTAAAGTGACTCTTCTGTTGCTTTCTGAGCCTCAAACACAAAAATAGTATTCACAAAGATCAGTCTGTCTCAGGCAAGTGTCAGGATGAAATCCATCATACGGTCATTCACAATAAGGTGTAAATGACCGTAAGACTATTGGATTTCCAAAGGGAGAATTTGTTGACCTAAATGACTAATTGGCAGTACCCTAGAAAGGCGAGAGGAGATTTTTAGAAGGAGTGAGTGCTCCCTGCCTCTGGTATGACACCAGGATGGACCACGTGGTCTACCTCTGCACAAGTCCAGTGTGGCTCCACTCCTCACACATCTTCCTCACTGCCTCATAAACCCTACATTCTATACTTGTTCTTTGGGGTTGAGCCTAAAACATTGTGTCTCTGTGTGTTTTCTTAAAATGTAAATATTCCTTGAAATATAACTCATCTATCCCTCGTCAGACATTACAGAATTTTTATGAGTTAATTCATCAGATTAGCCACTCACTTGGCTAAGGCATAGATCTTCGGAACAGTAAACTTGAAGAAAAGAAGTTCGAAGTAATTCAGAGCATGGGGAATCATTGTTAATCTGAGTTTCAGACAGGCTGGGGAGCAGGCGGGCCAGGAATTGGCTGTAAAGAAGGGTCTTCAGGTGCTGTGAATCAGGTGGAACAGAGAGAAAGCCCAGGAAGGTCAGCCCAAGTGAGCAAGAGGGAAAGTGACACATAACCAGCCAGGCAATGGTTCTGGATGCTCACGGAAGGCGGAGATAAGGAAGTAAGATTAAGGGACGAAGTGATAAAGAGTCAAGCATCCCTTTATTGGAACAGAGAGGGTCCCCAAACCAAAGCCTCTAGACTAAAAGAGAAGTCAGGAAAGTCAAAGGGATGAAGCTTAACAGAGAAAAAACAGTGAGAAAGATGATGATAACTCATTTGAGGATAAAATGCTTTCATTCGCAAGAAACCTTCACAAACTTTGTCTCCTGTGATCCCCAAGTATCCCTACGAGTTAGGATACCCAGATAAGGTACTGAGGTTCAGACAGTTTAAATGACCTAATCCAGGCCTGAGATAGGAAAAGAGTACTAGACAAGAAGGTAAGCTCAGGTTCTGATACATTCTTCTCTCTTTATTTTTTAAATTTTTTACATATTACTATGACAAAGATTTTCAAAATTTTTATTGAGGTAACATTGGTTTACAACATTATATAAATTTCAGTTTTACATCATTATATTTTGACTTCTGTGTAGATTACATTGTGTTCACCACCAAAAGTCTAGCTGTCATCCGTCACCATATACATGTGCCCTTTTACCCCTTTCACCCTCCCTTCTTCCCCCTTCCCTTCTGGTAACCAATCTGTTCTCTGTATCTATGTGTTTATTTGTTGTCATTTTATATTCCACATATGAGTGAAATCATACAATATTTGGCTTTCTCCATCTGACTCATTTTGCTTAGCATAATACCCTTAAGGTCCATGCATGTTGTCACAAGTATTTTTCCAAAGAAGATATAAAATGGCCAACAGCCATGTGAAAAGATGTTCAACATCACTAATTATTAGGGAAATGCAAATCAAAACCACAACTAGATCCGATACATTCTTATGTGACATTTAGTGTCATTTAACTCTTTTGCACATCATTTGTAAAGTGAGAAAAAGGAGAAGGGAAGACAACTGACATTTATTAATCTGCACTGTGCCAAACATCATATTTGGGACTTGATATAGTTTATTTCATTAGCATTTCAAAATGCCTGTAAAGGTAAATTTTTAAAAATATTATAATACCTCACAGGTTTTTATGAGAATCAAATTGAAAGATGCAATAGTTCTTAACTTTTTTTTGCCTTTAGACCAAAGTCTGGCAGACCAAGAGCCATGTCTAGCCTGCAGGGGTGTGTGTGTACGTGTGTGTGTGTGTGTGTGTGTTGTTCAATATTTACTATATTTTAAAATTAATTGCCAAATATAAAAATCTCAGAATGGCTTAGAAAAATCCATATTAGCAACTACTTTTGACAAGTCAGATGATCTAGCCACTCTAGGCTGGACTAGAGCTGATGGGGCTGCCCCCCTTAGACACCTGGCCCAGTGTCCTCCCTCACATTGCTACTTGGGCCTTTAGGCATGAGTTTGCAACCCAAATGCACAACACGCTCCCCTAAGACCATCTGTATGTAGCTACAGACAATGATTTCCAATAGGAGGAGGGCAGGGGGAGAAGGAAGCAAAGAAAATCCTTGGCTGAAGTAGGCCATAAGAAGGTGGAAAAGTAGCACAGTAAGTGGAAGGGAGGAGAACCCAGAGTTAAGCATGAGAGTGATTGATACCTGGAAAGAAAGTTTTGTTGGCGAGGAAAGGCCAGTAGGCAGAGGGAAACACAAGTCAGTTATAACAGTCTCTCTGGGAGCCTGCCTAGCATCCTGTGAGTGAATAGCAGATATAGCTCGCCTGGCAGAGCCTCTCAGCTTTGGACTGGCAGTGGATGGGACAAGATATGAGCTTCTGGAATAATTAGCCTTTTCTTGTGCCAGATTGATGATGACAAGAGACGAGATACAATTCAGAGACTACAACAGTGCAAATACGACAAAAAGGTGACTATAGTCTCCCCTGCTTCTCTGAACTCTCAGGGTATGTTCTGGGCTTTCTGACTCATCATTGCCCCAACTTCCAAGGTTGGCAGTGCAAAGGTTGGGGTGGGTGTGCAGGTTGCTCCAAGGGGCTGCTCTTGGAGCCTTTCACAGGAATGGGCAGGGCTCTGCTTCAGCGGTTCCAAAACTCACAATCCTGGGGAAATTGAAGGACAAATAGAATTTTTAAGAGGGGTGGAGTGTAGGAAGGAAAAGGAAAAACAAAAGAGGTTCAGAGCTGTCCACGCAACCCTAGTATTATATTTTGGCTCATTGCAGTGGGAAAATGACAGTCCCATACTAGGGGATTGCATCTTTCTTCCTTCCATCTTTCTCTCCTTCCTTCCTTCCTTCCCTTCTTCCTTCCTACCTACCTTCCTTCCTTTTCATTTAGTAATTCCTAAAGAAACATTCAAACTTGAGCCTCCCATATTCCAAGTACTAGGCACCAGGGATATAAACATCAATAAAATACCGTCACTGTTCTCAAGAGCTTACAGTATAGTTGGAAGACAGACACACAAATTATTATAATATGTATTTAAGTGGTCATGCTACAACATTATCTCCTTAATTCAATTGATCTTTGCAGCGAGTGATTTTAAAGGATCTCAAGCACAATGATGGCAATTTCACTGAGAAACAGAAAATAGAATTGAACAAGGTATGTGTCCCTTACTTGAAACCCTTAAGTGACAAATAGCTTCACTACACTTTCCCTAAGCAATGAGGTCCTTGGTGGAGCAAAGCATTATTGGGGGGTGCTGACAGAGAAGCCCTCAGGCCAAGAAATGGGTGACTGTACTTCTTGTTGAAAATTCTTCCAACAGTTGTTGAAGAGTGATATTTGATGGTGTAAAACATGTTTGAAATCTACTAGCATGTCCTAGAAAATGGTCCTGATGCTATTTGAGAGTAGTCAAAGGTTTGTCTTCAAGTCCCCTTGCTGACAAAAGAAAGATATAACGCAATGTATAGTAAGAAATGTACTGACATTCCAATGTGTCAAGAGCAATACATCTTCCCAAAGATCTAAACCATGACATGTTTCTTTAGCATGTAAATTTCCACTCTGGCACTCCTTTCTGGCTGACTTGCTTTGTAAATAAACATGTTATCTCAGTTGCTTCAGATTGACTATTACAACCTAACCAAGTTCTACGGCACAGTGAAGCTTGATACCACGATCTTTGGAGTGATTGAGTACTGTGAGAGAGGATCCCTCCGGGTAAGGAAGAATGATCATTTCCAATTTTTTAACCGGTCAACCATATGGAAAAAAATATATATTTAGGAGAAATTTTAAATGTTCACCCAGTGAAATAATATCAGAGAATTATTAGGAAAAGTCGGTGGGTCCATATGCTCACCCAACTAGATCACTCAGCTTTTGCCAATCAATCCTATTACAACTTTTTACAGAAAAACAAGCCAAAAATTATTCAGGAATGTAGACTTGAAAAAACAGAGAACAGATGTGGAAAAGTGAGTGATTACATCTAAATTCATTTTATTTTACTTGCATACTTGCTTTTGTATTAAAAGAAAAATGGATGGTCATTATGATGGCACCAAATAAGCATTTGGAGACTTGTTCATAAGTCCTGATGCTGTGACTGTTTAAATTCCCACCCTTCTCTCCCTTCTGAGGGATTGAGGATGCACAGGACTTGCCAGATGGGGTCAGATATTCTGGCTGAGCAAATTCAAAGCAGAAAGAGAAAGTAGGACAGGACTGAACCAAGTTCTTGGGAAGAACCAAGCGTCAAGCTGGGAATATCAAATCTGAATAGTTCAGAAGGGCAGGCATATACAAGAAACATTCATATACTAGAAACAAAGTAAGGTGTCAAGCAGAAACAAGACTGAATGGGGAAAGAGCAGGAGCAGGAAGAAATTGAAGACAGTTGCTTCAAAGAGAATAGAAATATTTGAAGCTCACCTGAAGCAGTTGCCGGGCATGTGTTATGAGAGCTTTCATCCTTTTAAATAACTTTGTATAGGTGACCATACAATTTACCAGGATACTTTAAGAGTGAAAAGGGGTGCTGTAATAATTACATTCAAACATCAGACATAAACTGCATCTGGCCTCAAGCAAACCAGGAGGTGTGGTCCCCCTGCCTTTGGGCTATTTTCAGACCCAGTATCTCTTAATAACCTCCATGTCTACCCCATAACAAAGCCAAAATCCTAAGATTGGGGGCAGCAGCAGCTTCAAAGGGGTCCAAATATTCATAATTCAATGAAATTTAAAAGCAATTTTAAAAATTTAAACTAATCACCTAGAAATGTTTAATTTTTCAATAAGCTGCAATCAAAAATAAAGAATAATCACTTTCAAAATGTATGGCATAAACTCAAATCTATTGTCAAAGAAAAAAAATCATACCCCTAAATGCTACTCTCTCTTTAAAATGATAATAATAATAATAATAAACTAAGTATTCAATGCAAAATTTAGAAGAAAAATTATGGACTAAGAAAAGGAAACTTTCAAAATTCAATCATTATAAATTGGTAGAATTTTACAATGCACTCGAGTTGTTTGTTTTTTAAGAAAAAACTATAAAACATACAAGCCTCTCATGCTTCTAATTAAAATTTTTAAAACAGACATAAAAATACACAAAAATGGGAATAAAAAATAAAGCTACGAAAAAGATGCTTTTGATTGTGAAAGAATACTTCATGACTGTTAAATTATGAAATCTAAAAAAAGGTAAAATTTTGGAAGCAATAAAATCATGAAAATGTGATTCAAACAGTAAAAACTTAAGTAGGCCAATAACAATAGAAGAAATCATAATTTCCATTTCAGACAATACCAGATTTGGCTAATTCTTCTAAACTTCAATGAATAGCTCTCATTGTCTAAATAAATACTATTCTAAAGTTAAACAAAAACATGAACGTCATCTAAATTCATCTAATATTCAGTAAGGCTGGCATAAAGCTGATACTAAAATATGATTAAAGGCTAACTATATTTATGAATATTGATGGAAAAAATCATAAATAAAATACTAGTAACTGTAAGCCAGTTGTACATAAAAAGCATAATTCAATCAGATATGGTTAATTCCATCAATGGAAAAAATATTACTCTAATGCATCATATCAAAAGGTCATAGAGGAAGGACCATATGATCATTCTAATTGATGCTAAAAATGATCATTTAAATAAAAAATTTATCATTCAGATAAAGCATTTTTAATAATAATGATTTCAAGTCTTTCAAAATTAGAAATGTTTTCCATATGAGGGCTAGACCATACTCTGATTCATTTAATTTCAGTGAGACAGAAATTTTAGAATACAGATAACAGAGCCTGGTCAAAGGGTTTCACATGGTCTTTTACTCCCTAAGTGCCCGGTCAACATGTAGGCATCGTGCCCATAGTGTTTTTGGTTCTCTGCCCTAAGGTGGGAAACTTCAGACATCTGAGTGGTCCTGGGCCCCCTTCTGGAGTTGCTTACTCACCTTCGGAGCAGACAGCAGCACGAGCTCCCACAGGAAGCTTATCTGCTCCTTTCTACCATGAATCTCAAAGCAAAGGCTATGCCCAGGCAAACTACAGCCCCCTCCCTGGTGCCATCCCTTTAGGCTTCAGACCACGGCAAATCCCATCAGAATCCACTTTTGTGAGGAAACAAATGATAAAGTTTTTCCCTAGACGGAGTAAAGATGATATGTTTCCCATCTTATAAATATGCTGTAACCTTGGCTAACCTTGTTTAGGAACAATCGATTCATTTACGCAACAAATATTTATTAAGCATCTATTCCATGTCAGACACTGAACTAGATGTTGCAGATACAGCAGTGAACAAAAATTATCAAGGCCGGCCCGGTGGTGTACCAGCTAAATTCGCACATTCTGCTTCAGCGGCCTGGGGTTCGCTGGTTTGGATCCTGGGCGCAGACCTAGCACTGCTCATCAAGCCGTGCTGAGGCAGGCGTCCCACGTATAAAATAGAGGAAGATAAGCACAGATGTTTCCTCAGCAAAAAGAGGAGGATTGGTAGCAGATGTTAGCTCAGGGCGAATCTTCCTCAAAAACAAAATCACAGAGTTTACATTTTCATAAGGAGAAGAGACAACCAATAAATAAATAAAAATGTAAAGTATGTCAGGTGCTAAGGGAAAGAATTCCTTTAGAGTCTGTCTGCTCATAACTGCCCTTGCTTAACTTGGCCTGGTACCCACAGCCCAGCCAGCCTTATCTGAAATGATTAATGACTTTGGACCATTTGTTGCAAATTACTGGTACAGTTAGAACTAAAGGTCAAATTGGGCTTTTTCCCCAAACAAGAAACGATTGTTAGTTTATTAGTTAGGGTTTTATTGTGAAGAATAGTTATTAGCTTAGGTAAAAACCCTGTATCTTGATAGAACCATTGTCATGTTAAAATAGTGAGTTCAAAATTCCAGGTCATATAATTCATACACAAAATCCAAGAACTCTGTCCTATTGACAAAGGACTTAGTAAACTTAAATAACACCTAGAGCTATTAAACCAATGGATGCAACTGATCAAGTGAGTAAAAGCGTAAGCCTAGTGAATGAATTTCCTTACAGCAATTCCTTGTCTAAAAATACTAGTGTGATTTTAAGGAGACAGAACCTGCAGCCCAACCACTTGTGAAGCAGGCTCACCAGCCCACTCTCCAGGGAGGTGTCTGCCCATTCCTTTACCCGGGTCTGGGGGAAGAACCTGGAATTTGGAACACCATGGGTATCTCCTGCTCATCTTCTTGTGCTGAAAGCCACCGAATGTTCCTAAAGTAGGAGAGAAAAGAAACACATGTTCAGGAAATCCAGGACAATGGAGTTCTAATTTGTTCCTGAGCCTAAGGCCTCATGATTAGAAGCTCATTATTTGCCTGTAATAGTCTCTCCAGAGTATCCATCCTTGAGGCAATTCACCTTGTTCCTTTCCTTTTTCTCCTGTTCAGGAAGTTTTAAACGACACAATTTCCTACCCTGATGGTACGTTCATGGACTGGGAGTTTAAGATCTCTGTCTTGTATGATATTGCTAAGGTAAGAGACCTACAAAAACAAAAGAATTTATGAAAATTAAATATAGGAAACCAGAGCTAGCAAGCTATTCAAACTCTGTGTGCATTGGTTTCTTCATCAGTAAAGTGGTAATAATAATACTACCTATGTTCATAGGGTTGTTGTGAGGATTTTATGAAATAATGTATGTCTTAGTACAAGGCCCAGGACAAATACATGTTCAATATATTTGGCTTTTTTTTTTATTATATTTTTTCTACTCTGGGTTTGGGATACACATTTTTCATAGACTTGCTGGAAATCAAAATCATATAAGATTGCAGGAAAGACAACTAGAACTTCAACTTTTTAAGAGAAAATATTAAGGACAGTCAAACATCTTGCACAAGGCAGTAATAAATTTGGACATGTATATTCCCCGGCATGACATGAAAAGGGAAGTGGATACCAGGAACCAGGGCCTCATTCATAAATGCAGGAACAGTAAGTCCTGAGAGTGAGCTCTGTGATACAGTCTTAAATCACCAGAAAGTCAAATAGTATCAGAATCAGTTTGAAAAAATGTTGTAAGACACCTATTGGCCACATTTCACTCCTGTGATCCAGTCTGAAAACCAATTTCTACTACGACACCTCTGCCCACCAGGGGGAAGCACACCAGCCAAAAGCAGGCTTCCCATTTCAAAACAGAACGAAAGGTTCTATTTCCAAATAGAATGAAACGGATTAGATTTTAGGAAATAATCTAGCCCAGCCCCCGCCATCAGAAAGGCAAAGCTTTATTCTTCGTATTTTTAAATTGAGGTAGCAGAAGACCAGAGACATACCCAAGGTCACAGACCAAATAACTGGTAAGCAGAAACACTTGAAAAAAAAAGGAATCATCCCTTTGTTTCATATTATATGTAACTACTCAACTAGAGTCTTTAGACAATTGTCTTTTACTGTGTCACTTAAAAAGACTTCAAAACTAGACGCAGTGCTTGGGCAAATATTAGAGCGTTAACAATATTTTTTAAGTAAAATTAATGGAACTAAATTTAAAATCTGATGATGTGATTCTGCTGAAATGGTTTCAAAACATCATTTCTTTCTTTAAAATAAGCAGATGAAGAGTGTCAGACCTCTTTGTTTTCCTGTTGTCTGAAAAATTACAGGGGATGTCATATCTGCACTCCAGTAAGATAGAAGTCCACGGGCGTCTGAAATCCACTAGCTGTGTGGTGGACAGTAGAATGGTGGTGAAGATCACTAATTTTGGCTGCAATTCCATTTTACCTCCAAGAAAAGGTCTGTAATGAATGAAATTTGTCCTAGTTTCTCACTTTTTTTAAAAAAAATTTTTTCACAAGCCCACACGAGGCGCTCAGAAAATGATGACACTGCAGAAAATAAACAGCCACAAGAGGCAACAGCTGGCTCGTTTTCCAGCACTTCACCCTTGTCGCTTTTCAACAAGTGCTTCTTGAGTTGAACAAATTTCCTCTGTGGCTTTCCTTCATCTATCTGTCTCTTGATATCAGTGAGAAACTATGAAGAACTTGTTGGCTTGTGGAAGCAGACCTGGGATAAAAAGTAGAGGTTAGAGTAATAAGAGATGTTAGAAATCATCTGGTCTAATCCTCTTCCTTTATAAAAGAATGAAGGCTCAAGGAGGCTGAGAGATTCACCCAAGAAGATAGAGTACAAGGCAGGAGACCCATTTCCAAATTCTAGACATCACTCATTTATCTATGATAATGATAAGAAACGATAATGACAAGAAAAAAACACTTATCGATACAATATATTCTTACTTATCCCTTCCAGGATAGTGATGAGGGTCAAAACAGTAACACAAAGAAAAATGACTCGTAAAGCATAAAGGGCTTTTCATGTTGAACACTTACCCACTTTGCCATAACTCAGAGTTAAACAGCCTCAGAAATTCATATATGCCTCAGAATTCTACCTAAAGCCAAAACTGAATTCTATTTCTGATTCTACTTTGCAACCCTTTAGTTTTCCCTTAATAAAAGAAAAATTACAATTCTGCCCCTATGTCTTCAGTCACCCCAGGCATAGCATGACACTGGACTCTATCCAGTATGTGCTTGTTGAAGACCGGCTGTGTGCCGAGCGTGGTTCATCGTCTAGGGGAACAAATCTTCATTAGATGATTCATGACCACACAAAATCAGATGAATTGCAGGTCAAATCCTGACCTCCTGAACATGAGTTCAGTTATACCTACCTATCTGTGCTGTCAGTTACTCAAAATTTTAGCGTAAGTAGATTTTCTCACCTTTCCTACAAACCCAAAACATTGGAATCAATTGTCTATGAATCAAAGTCCCATAAATTCATGAGACATAAATTCAAAAAGGCAATGAACATTTGGATGGAAAACCAAATGATAAAAATGTCTCATCATAAGCATATCACTGTACCTAACAACATGAATCTATTAATTTTTTAATTGCAGCTGCTAAAGATAGAAATCTCAAAATATTTACACAGAGCTAGGTGATACTGGAAAAGTTCCAAGGGATGTTGAAGGAAAATGAATTGTATGCCCCTGTTATTAATAGGGTATATGATAGGATCCAAAACCTGAGTGTCTGTAGGAGCCAAAGACAGGCCACAGGAGCATTTCACTTGTGTGAAGCAGACTAGATGGAAAGCATTAGGAATAGCAGGCACAGTGGTAAAACGTGAGTAAATTATATGTGCATAAGAATACTGTGGAAACCAAAGAAAACACAGCTATGGGCGACAGCTGACTTGGAGGCTGCCAGTCCGTCATACCTTGGAAATATCATTGTTAGTCTCTGTTCAAATGTGCTCTTTATTTTCTTTCATAAATATATATATGCATAAAATATTTTTTATATTTTATATATTTGTATATTGCATTAAAATGTATGGATATATGTGTATTATATTAAAATATATTTATATTATATAAAAATGTATAAATATGTTTTATATTTCTAAAGGCTTTCATAGGTTTATGCCATATGTCCCATAAGTTATTAAATCATCAGCCTCTCATATTGTACTGCGTTCATCCCACAGATATTTTCTGAGCACTTCCTGTACAGCAGGCACTATTCTAGATAGATCTTGAAAGTTATCAGGGCTATGATCCTAGCAGCTTTATTGCCATTTGACCTTGCCCAAGTCCTGACATTACACAGCCAGCTTAAAAGGTACATGTGTTCTAACCCATCACCAGCATTAGCCTAAACTCCTCAAGAGTTTGGGACCACATAAATTCGAGGCTACTCATATTTAGGGTGCATGGTGTAGAGACTTAAAGAAAAAAAGCAGACCTATGGGCTGCTCATCCCGTTAACTTTCTACTCTCGATGCTGAACGTGCAGACCTGTGGACAGCCCCGGAGCACCTCCGCCACGCCAGCTTCTCTCAGAAAGGGGATGTGTACAGCTATGGGATCATCGCACAGGAGATCATCCTGCGGAGAGAAACCTTCTACACGTCGAGCTGCCGGGACCAGAATGGTAAGTCTGACGCCTTCATCTGCCCCCTCTAGGAGCCCGAGTTCTAGGCTCCCCAAGACCCCAATCTGTTTGTGACCACATCTCAGTCCTCTCGTCTGCAAAAGGAATGGCATACCTGCACTACACATTTCACAGGGGTGTGGGAAGAATTAAATGACAGCGTGAGCGTTAGAGTGCTCTGAAAAGCCTAAGACAATGAATGTACCACCACCAGGTGACATTATTGTCCGTATTATTGCTAATTAAAGAGTCTTCCCTTACAATTTTCCATTTTCCTTTTGACTCCAACAAGAGATATGTGTCTGTTTAACGCCTGAACTAAATTACCCCAGTGGGACAACAAACATATTTTGATTCTTACTAAGAGAAGAGCTACAGTTTTTGTTAGATGTCCTCTCAGGGAGAAATGTCTCATTCCTTTCAGCCAGTCCTCACTTATGGAGCACTTATTGTGTGCCAGCTGTTAACTGTCTGGGAGTGGGGGGTGAGTAAAGGGTGTATCAGGCTGGGCTAGAGTTTTGCTCAAAGGAAGCCTCATGAAGGCAGTGGAATCTGAGTTGAGTTTTAAGGGGTTAGTAGCCTTAACTTAAGGTAACCTCCTGGGTATAAGAGGGTATAAGACCTCTTCACTTGGGGCTCATTTATTCACGCAACATCCATCTATTGAAAGCTGGCCTAGGCGCTGCCACTCTCTCACTGGGTACCCATCCAGGGTAGGGGAACCAATTCAGAATCTGGCCGCCACTAAAATTTCTTCACGCTGCGTTGTTTCTTGTAATTTGAATTATTCTTATCCCATTAGAGAAGATTTTCAGAGTGGAGAATTCCAACGGAGTAAAACCCTTCCGCCCAGATCTGTTCCTGGAAACAGCAGAGGAAAAAGAGTTGGAAGTGAGTATATCACATCCTCCCTGTATGAGTTTCTTTGGGCTGCTGTAACAAATTGCCACAAACCTGGTGGATTCAAACAACAGAAATGTATTTGCTTACAGTTCTGGAGGTCAGAAGTCTGAAATAAGTTGTCAGCAAGATCATGCTCCCTCCAGAGGCTCTAGGGGAGATTCCATTCCTTGCTTTTTCCAGAAGCTTCTGGTGGCTATGATATACCTTGGCTCATGGTCACACACTCCAATATCTGTCTCCGTGGTCACATTCTCTTGTCTTCTGTCTGTCTAACCTCCCTCTACCTCGCTCCCGTATAAGGGTACGTGTGATTGCATTTGGGCCCACCAAGATAATCCAGAATAATCTCCCCATCTCAAGGTCCTTAACTTAATCACATCTGCAAAGACCCTTTTTTCAAATAAGGTCACATTCACAGGTCCCAGGGTTTAGGACATGGACATCAGCTTTAGGAGCCGTCATCAGCCTGCCACACTCCCCAGGTCCTGTCTGTCTCCCCCAAACCAGGGAAGAGCTGGCTTGTTAAGCACACATCACATTCTCAATTTTTAGGAGCTAAAAGGGCAAGATGTCCTTGTGATACACTTATTGGCCTATAATAGTACCTACTAATTAAAAAATAAATATGCCAACATCCAGAAACAACAAAGAAATGTCCTTTCACTCCTTCATCCTTCCTCTGAAAGAAATGGGCTTTTCTCTCTGCATTTGCTTAAGTTTTTTATAATCCCTCACAGAGACCTTTAAGGCCTATGAAAAAAATTCTAATTTTTTTTTAGAATTTTATCTGAGCTTTTATAATTCCAGAGGATAGTAACTAAAGCAGTTTAAAAAGCATTTATGGTCCTAAAAAGTTAAAAAAAAGAAAATATTCGTTCCTTGTGGGATAAAGATAAAAACACTTCTCTTCAGTTTATAAGCACGCTGCCAGATGAGTTTATGGGCGATTCTGTGGTGGCCGGTGGCCCATCTTTACCTCTGCTCCTCTTCCCCTGTCAGCATTAAAGGCACGTGGGAGACCCAAGGTTCTGAGCTACAGCTGCTCCCATCCTTGCTCTCTCCTCATTCCTTCTTTCCTCCTGCTTTTCTGGATCCTAGGATTTTCTGGACTCCTCCCCACGTATCAGCATGTCCCTTCTCAAACCCTCCTTTCTAGTCTGAGTATATCTATGCATGTTTAAAATTTTTTCACCAAAGCATTCTCCTCCTCAATTCACTCATGTAGTTGGATGGTTCTGGAACTGGAAATGAAGAATAAGATTTCACATCTAGTAGCTGGTTCCAATAGAATACGGGGCTGAAGCTAGATGGCTTGGCAATGCCAGAAGAGCACACGGGACTCACTCTGTGGTGCTCCGTCAGCCCATTTGTCGATTGCTTCTGTCCATTCCTGTCTAAGGCGGTCAGCAGATTGTCCAGAAGGCAGGAGCATCATCTAGTGGTGAACACAGGCAGAGGCTACACTGTGGTCTGGTCCCTCTCTCCAGAGACTCATTAAGGCAAAGAACGCAGATAGGGACTGCATCTATACCATTTGTGATCCTGTTTCTGGCCAGAGTGAAGAACAAACTTTATTTAAAGCAAATAGTTTTCACCAAGCTTTTTGATCCAACAAAAGCTGCAAACAAGTGGTAGCAAATGAGATGATGGGTCCATGGGCTTCCTCGTGTCTCCCCCTTCCTCTGTATCCCCTTTCCTCACTTCTCATCTCCACTGCAGTTGGGCATTATAATCACCTGAGGAACTTAAAAGTAGATATATTATATTGTAAGGCCACACGGATGGCTGGGCTAGGGCAGCAGGGTATTGTGCTGAGAGACCAAAGAAACAACCCAGAGATGATGGGTGAGACATAGATTTACTGGGACTTACGTACAGGGAGAGTCCAGGAGCAGCTGGCTGTACATAGATCTGCACACCACTACCCCCCAAAGAAGTTTGTTTAAGTAGGCAGAGGAAGAAAGGCTGCATGCTTGCCAAGGGGGTCGTCCCTGTATGACCTGCATTCCAAGGACCAGAGACCACCCGCTCCCCCTGCCAGGGGCGTCTGTTTTCCTTCAAACCTTGAGGGTCTTTGTGCCAACTATCCCACGAGAAAACAACTGGGTGGACCAATCCCAGGACTGTTATCATCATGAGTGCTGGTGCATAGCCCAGACAAGGAGCCTCCAGGACACATGGTCTTAAAGGGGCACGGTGGCTAATGCCCCTTCGTACATATTGTCCTTTGCCCTGCAATATTTGGGAACTACTAATGCTAAAGCAATTATTGTTTATCTGAAATTCAAGTTTAATTGTGTGTCTTGTATTTTTATTTGCTAAATCTGAGAACCCTACTAAGGCTCCTTCACAAACCAATTAAATCAGAGTCTCCTGGGGTGGGGCCCGGGCATAAGAAATTTTATAAATGCTCCCCAGGTGATTCTGCTGTTGGCATTGGTTGAAAACTGCTGCCAAAGAGCCTCACTCTCATTTAGAGTCACTTCCCTCATACTCACCGAGCCCTCCTATGCCCTCCTCAACGTACATCCTGCAAACGTCTGTAAAGAATGCTGTCTCTCCCATCAACCCAGCCGCATCCAAATTGGTATCACCTTTTCATTAATTCAGGACCCAAGGGAAGGGCAAGGCAAGGATGCACAGGTGGCGATGCCCAGGACACACTGCAGACCACTGGGCGAGCTCGTCTTCATCGTCAGAGTTGCAATGTTTTAAAATAGTCCCTGCCTCAAGTACTTCCATCATAGAAGAGAGGATAAAATAGGCCCCCTGAACTAACCCACCCCTTCCTTCTTCCAGGTCTATCTACTTGTAAAGAACTGCTGGGAGGAAGATCCAGAAAAGAGACCAGATTTCAAGAAAATTGAGAATACGCTGGCCAAGATATTTGGGTATTGCTGAAATTTTTACTGTTCCTCACTAATTTCAGGTTTTTCTAATAATAATTGACATTCCATGGCACCTAAGAATAAGAACGCCTATTCTAATGAAAAATTCAGACTACAACACCTGTCTTAAAAAATTAAAATAAGCAAGATTGAATTCTAGATTTTTCCATGTTTTCAGTTAGATGCAGTGAAGAGTGAGAAAAATAAGACTGGAATAAGAATTAGGAGGTCCAGCTTCTAGAATAGGATCTAATAATAGCTTGCTGTGAAACGTTGGGCAAAACGCTTACCTTGTCAATTTTCTTGTTAGTAAAATTGGGCTGAACAAGATCATTTCTCCAATTCCTTCCAGCTCTAACTTTCTGTGGTTCTCATTAAGTCAAAGATTCAGGTACTTAACGAGGCTAAAATGCCCAAGGCTGGAGATGACATAGAGTGAAGTTGATGAAAGTGTGGTCATTGATGTGGTCGATGCAAACTGTCCTTTGTGGGAAAGGAGCAGGAAATACTAAACGATTTAATTCTTGCCCATTTTTCATTCCTTCGCAGACCTGTTACTAAGAGTGGGTGAGATTGTACGTGCAACAGATGAAATGTAGACTCAGGAAGATAAACGGGGCTCCCGATATCTCGCCTTTAAAAGGGTGGTTCTCAACTTGGCTGCACGTTGAGATCACCTGGGGAGATTTTAAAAGTGCTGATGCCTGAGTCCTACCCCGGAAAGCCTGATGTAATTGATTGGGGGTGCGGGCTGGCATCAGGAGTGTTAATAGCTCCTCAGGTGATTAAAATATGCAGCCAAGGTTGAGAAAACTATTTTAATTGAATCAATTCATCATGGAGTAAGATAATCCATCTCCATCCCTTCCACCTGCTCCCTCACCCTTCCTACCAACTAGACTGTGTGCTGGTGGTTTCAAGTGAGAATCCCCTGGGGAACTTAAAAAAATTCCGTTTCTTAATCCCAAGCTTGGCAGTTTCCAGTCATATAGGTCTGCGTTAGGACTCAGACATGTGTTGAATTTTTAACAAACGTCCCTCCTCATCACAGGGGATTCTGATGTGGGCCATGTTCTCCTTGAGTGCCGACGTGGTAACTTTTAATTGTTGTTGTAATAAGGAAATGCTAGGATTTGTTCAGCTCCTGCAATTGTGCCATATAAGTTATGAATATTATCTTTGATCCTGACAGCGACTCTCCGGGATTTCAGTGTGCCTCTGACTGAGCTCTGCACCATGGCTTGTCACACTTCCCAGTGTCGCAAAAAGCTGGCGTCTTATCTAAGTCTCCTTGGTCTAATAAAATAATCCAGAGTTAGGTTTTCTGCTTTAGAACCCTGGCTCTGTGTTCTGAAGAAACCGCATAAGGCTCAGCTTTGCTTTTCTTATATTTTTTTTTTTTTAAAGATTGGCACCTGGGCTAGCAACTGTTGCCAGTCTTTTTTTTTTTACTGCTTTATTTCCCAAACCCCCCTGGTACATAGTTGTATATCTTAGTTGCAGGTCTTTCTAGTTGTGGGATGTGGGATGCCACCTCAACGTGGCCTGACGAGCGGTGGCATGTCCGTGCCCAGGATCCGAACCCTGGGCCGCCACAGCGGAGTGCGCGAACTTAACCACTCGGCCACGGAGCCGGCCCCTCAGCTTTGCTTTTCTTGATCCATCTCTTACACTTCCATTTATCACCTCTAGAGCCTTTTTAAAAAAAAAATTTCCCTTTATTGCAAATTATTATTAAAATTTTAGAAAATATGAATAAGCAAACAAGAAAGTAAAAACATCACCGGTTTGTCAATGGATGACCACCAGTTTTCAAAAATTAAAAATGAGATGATAATTTTTGCTGTTTCATAAACTGACTTTTCTCACTGAACAATATAGAGGTGGCATCTGTGTATTTAACCATTCTAATACATATTTACTGATATATTAATATTTCATTGCATCATAATATCTTAACTACTTTTTGTGATGCATTTAGGCTATTTTCAAATGGTTGCTGTTGTAAAGAATGCTGTGACTTTCTTTGTGGTTAACTTTCAACCCATTCAACATTGTTTTCTTGGTGTAATTCTTGAAAGTGGAATTGACGGGCTGGTCAGGATGTGCGTTCTTAAGGTCTATGACCTTCTACCACATTGCCCTCCATGAAGCTCATAGTGTACATTTTTCCTCCTTCTTACCTACAATGATTACCATTGTTCTAACATTTGTTTTTCTTTCCTTTTTTAAAAAAAAATCTTATTTCTATTTCTTTGATTTTTCCTGAGTTTAAACTTTTTTTACTGTATTTCTTGGCCACTTAATTACCTGTTCCCTGTATTTGCCCATCGTTTTGTTGGATGTTCATGTTTCCTTAATAATGCTTAAGAGCTCTTTATCTGTTAATACCTACAGACTATTTCATGACCAAAAAAACGAAAGCTATATGGACACCTTGATCCGCCGTCTACAGCTATATTCCCGAAACCTGGAGCATCTGGTGGAGGAGAGGACACAGCTGTACAAAGCAGAGAGGGACAGAGCCGACAGACTCAACTTCATGTTGCTCCCAAGGTAAGGCAGATGTCCCTGCTTCTGTGGTTTCCCACGGTTCCACAGCCAAGCCTCAGACCTTGAAGCTGAAAGCTTCCGCATATTTGTCTAGCCCCGCTTTTCCTGGTATCTATTTAGTATTGTTCCCTTTTCACAGTTTTTAACAGATTATTCAGTTTATAAATACATGCACCTTGCTAAGCCTTTGTCTGGTTTGTATTCCAAACACCGGGAAGAAAGAGGTTATTTTCAAGTGGCTGTGTGGTGCCACTGAAGGAGCGTGGACTGTGGAGTCAGAGAGACCTGGGTTCCAACACCTCTTTGTCACTTTCACTAAGTCTGGGAGCTTAGGCAAGTCACTGCCTGTCTCTCCTCAGTCTCAAAATGGAAATTAAAATTTCCCTGTGGAATCGATGAGCTATAAGGCACTTTCAGGAACTAAGTGTTAGTTTCTTTGCTTTCTTCTTTCCACCTCCAAGTAGAAGCCAAATTACAAGAAGTAGGAGCCATCTTTAGTGGAGGAGGTGGAGGCCCCGCGTCAGATGTCTCATCATGGAGGCATCTGTGGGCTGCCCTCTGTTCGGTGAAGCAACGTTACAGTCATGACAGAAGGGAAACGGAGGAAGGTTAAAATCCTCAAACGATTTAAAGTTTTGTGAGTGTTGGTGCTCAGATAATAACTAAGGAATGTTAAAATAAGCAGGAAATGAAGAGCTAAGAAATAGGCTTGGGCCAATGGGCCCACAACTGGCACAAGTGAGAAGTAATGTTCTTTTCTCGTTAAAGTATAATAAACTGTCCTATTAGATTAAGGATAAGCTAGGCAGTCTAGCATTGGGTGAAATCACGGAAATTGAGGTCAGCTAGGCCTGACTTCAAATTGTGGTTCCACCACCTACTACTGATGTGCAATCTTGCGCAGGTTCCCTAACTGCTCCAAGCCTCAGTTTCCCACCTACCTCATAGGCTGGCTCTAAGGATCCCCTGAAATAGTGTGCAGGATAGAAGGTACTTAGCACAGTATCTGGAATGTCCATGGTTGTTATTATATACAGTAATTATGACTTTTATCTATAACTTGTGCTGATGATTATTTTATTTTGAACCCAGCTCTGCATTAATAAAAGAATGGTTTTGAGGTCATATGAGCTGTTTTCTAAATAAAGAAATTGTTTGTCTTCCACAAGCCTGGGTAAAGAGGTAGGAGTTATGCATGTGCTCTGTCCGGTTGTCCAGGCCTGAAGAAAGCCTCCTGCAGAACCCATGTGCCCTCAGGGTGTCTAGGAGCAGCCTGGGAATGCTGCCCTGGGAATAGGCTGGAACCCTTAATATTCACTTCAGAGAATGCAATTTCTTTCGGAGCTCCATAAATGCTAGTCATATAATGCATCATTCTTTGCCTGGCCTTTAATGCTGAGTTGTGATAAAAACAACATCCTGATCATCTGTCTTCTTTCCAGGGTGTCATCATCAATGGTCTTCACGAGTAATGTCACTCAAATGGTTTGAAACAGCTGGTTTACCATCTCAGATTTTTTTTACCCTTGGTTCAATGTGCCAATTTGACCAATAGATGGTAAATGTTTTTACTGGATTGTCAAAGCTTTTAGAACACAAATCTTTTCCATAGCTGTGTCGGGGTGGGGAAAAATCCCCTTTCTTCCCTTCTTGTGTTCCTATGGCTGGACTAATAATAAAATTGACACAAGACTGGATTAACAGGAGAAAAAAACAGTTTAATATATACGTATTGGAGATCATAAGGAAATGGTACTTGGGGAGTGAACAAGGCAGGCAATATATGTGTCTTTTACACAAAGAAACAGTGAATTTGTGAAGAATTGACAAGACAAGGAAGCTCAGATTCAGGGTTTGTAGTTAGGGAGGAATTTAAGCAGAGTTTAGGCTTGAGGAGTAAATGAACAAGGTTTGTTTATGTGGCTTCTTATCCCTAAATCCCCAGCTCTGGTGATAAGGATGCAGGGAGAGCCCCTGTCACATGGGAGATTTTTCCTGCTTTCAGGGGAACAGAGACAGGAGGGTGAGAATGCCCTTGTCCTTCTCAAGTAACTTCAATTCAAAATAATTAATATACCGTTGTGGGATATTTTGGCGTGGCCTGCCCTGGGCCCCAACAGTTACAATACACCATAATTCCCATGCAACTCACTTTGATAATTTATGTAAAAAGTATTTATATTTGCAAAACGAAACTGAAGCGTACATGAACAATAACTAGAAGAATCAAAAAGAAATATTTACGGCACAATTGTGAATAAACGTAAGATTGCATGTAGGAACCTGATGCTGTTTACACACTTATTTAAAAACAATGCCCTTTGGGCTTTGAGACAGATTCAAATAGAAGTGTTTTCTTCCTGTGGGAAACCCTTCTAAGACATCTACCATGTATACTAATCTGTTTGTCTTGGCAACAGCCTCTTATCAAAGCTCACCATGTTTGTCACTGTCCTTCATTTATCTGTCAACACTGGTTTCTCTCCCTGGGTAATGCACTATTTTCCAAGCTCATATGACTTTTCAGATATAAGCAGTAAAATGAAGGGCAAAGGTGGTGAACTATCCAATTTTATCATTATATCTATGTAGCCTTTAAAATAATCTGCACCCTTATACTGGCCATGTCAAGAGCAACCACCCCAGAAGTGTCCCCGAGGATCCAAGTGGCCACACCAAAGGGCATTTTTCAAAGGTTGCAAGTTTTGCTACTGTGCCAACTGGAAAGACTTCCCTCGGTGCTCTAGAGCTTCTCTAAATGAGTATTGCATACCCTTGTGGTCGATTAGCTGTTTTCTGGGAGAATGCCAGCCATTCTTCCTTTGATACGATCAGCACACCTCCAGATCTTTCCGTCTCCCTGAATCTCCAGGGCCTGGGGTGCGGAGGAAGTGTGGTGCAATAAAAAGACTGAAGGGGGTGATGTTACTGAGTTCTAGTACTGGCTCTGCCCTTCGTGGCTGTGGGACTTTGTGAAAGTCATATATTCTTTTTAAGCCTCAGCTTTCTCATCTGTAAAACTAAGGGCTTTATTCTCCATGACCTCTATGGCACCTGCCAGCTTGCAGATTCGGATTCTAGTGGTTCCGTACTCAAGTCCTTCACAAAATGATCTCTAAGGCAGACAGGGAGCATCCAGCCTCATGTCAGCCCCACCCCATTTTATCAATGAAAAGGCAACTTGGCACATAAAGGAAGTATGGAGTCCCTTCTTGTGATTCTTCTCTCTTAATTCTGAGTCTGATATACTACTCCTTGTATCTCTGCAACAAAGATGTTCTAAGTCACTTCTATTTGACTTTTGCAATTTTAGCATAACTTTAATTTTTTTATATGATAATTGACTTTGCTTTTTAAAGGACCCAAATCTGGTTCAAAACATATCAAATAAATTCTGGTTCAGAATACATCAAAATTAATTTTTTAAATGCATTGTTCCTTCACAGTGATATTAAACAATACCATGTTAAATATGCCTAGGAGGTGAAAATATTGGCTCTGATGAGAAAGTCATATCTGATAGCTATAGTGGTGCCAGCTCTGGCATTAATGACACAAACTCTCTTTCTCAGCTTCTAGATATAGAGCTGTATCCAGCCTATAGGGCAAAGGGCATCAATAGAGACTATCAATAGACTGGTAAAAAGTGGGCAAGTGTATATATGTATTAGGGTTATGTAGGTATTAGAGTTATGTATATATATATGCTCTAAGATTAACAATCAGATACTAAGTTAATGCTGAACCTGCTTATATTCCTCTGAGTTCAAATATATGTATTATATGTATATGTATGTAACATGTTCATATGTATAGCATGTGCAGTCTATCTTTGTTTTCCAGCTACCCAATTCACTGGAAACCCCAAATTTTAGAATTTCTGGTGGACAATTACTGCTGTTTCAAATATTTATATAAGGGAAGAAAAAATTTACTGAAGTTGAAGGTATTTTAATTTTCCTTCCTCGTCTAGGCTAGTGGTGAAGTCTCTGAAGGAGAAAGGTTTTGTGGAGCCTGAACTGTATGAGGAAGTTACAATCTACTTCAGTGACATTGTAGGTTTCACCACCATCTGCAAATACAGCACCCCCATGGAAGTGGTGGACATGCTCAATGACATCTATAAGAGTTTCGACCACATTCTTGATCACCATGACGTGTACAAGGTAAGCGCTTCACCTAACAGACTGAAATGATCATATGGCCCCAGGTCAGCAGAGCTGGAATTGGTTGCTCCTGTTATTACCCAGGTCTTGTCTTCTCTAATTTAAGATTTAATGAATTGGTGGCTGACTCTGAGAGAAAAGTGAGGGAAAGTGGAAGAATAAGAAGGGTCAGAAGTCAAAATGACTCTGTGACTTTAAGAAGCAGTGAACAACGTAAAGTTCAGCAAGAATGGATGTGGGGTACTAAATCTAGAGAAAATGTCATACTCTCAAATTATCTTCAAAAATAGATAGTATTTTGGCTGATTGCAAAATAAGAGAAGTCACCTGAGTTATAAGTAGAATAGGAATCTTTTCTTGTCGTTGTTGAAATAGCACCATTCAGAGAATACTAACAGAGAACAGGGAGAGCATTCAGTAAGTTCAGAACTGGATCTATGACTTGACTACGGTGCTGATCAGTTCCAGACTAATCGTGTCCGAGTCAGAGGAGTAAAGGGGAATTGAATTCCTGTATTTTCATGCTGGAAAAGCAGCAGAGCATATGGAACAAGTAACTTTAGAATTAGAGCTCTTCGTTCAAATCCCAGTTTGCCCCTACCTAACTGTGTGACCTCGTAAAATGTATTCAACTTCCTCAAGTCTCAGTTTACATATCTGTAAAGTGGGATGATAATAATACCTAACTCAATGGGTTATTGTAAAGATTATAGAGATACATAATATGCCTGAAACACTGTATCCTTAAGTAAAGCTTAGAGGTCGTTGATATAACAGTCTGTCATGATGTTTATTATCCAGAGAGGACGTCCCATTTAGGATTTGTTTTAGCCCAATCCTCACTCTGTGTAGGTTAGAAAGCCATTTTAACAGTGGTCCTTGTTGGATAGAAAATGATTATGCATTTAGAAGTAGTCAGCAAAAAGAAGTTAACTAACCAACAAGTGTTAACAATGCATCTGACTTCATAATGTGCAAAAAATTTATTTTCATAAGTAAAATTGAAAGGAAGACATTTATCAAAGAATAATGTTTATAGGATATGACTAATATTAGTCTGCTACTTATTACAAGCAAAGTGTTTGGAATCACCATACCACAAGAATGTGTATTACATCTTTGAGGAGCCTACAATTATTTTTTCTCAAGTAGTACATAAAAAATGATAAGTGTTAAAGATGACTTTCCTGGTAATTGAAAGTATTCCTAAAATTACATAAAACCATTCAGATTATTTAAACATTTATAGAGTTGTCACCACATCTGGATGATTTATATTATTATGAAGTACTTTCATATGGTTAAAATCTTTTGCAGCTGTTTTATCATCCATTTAACTAGACTATAAAAACTCTGAAGGAGGCTTGCCCCGTGGCATAGTGGTTAAGTTCAGTGCGCTCCACTTTGGCAGCCCGGATTCATAGGTTTGGATCCCAGGTGCAGACCTGCACCACTCATCAGCCACGCTGTGGTGGTGACCCACGTATAAAGTGGAGGAAGATGGGCAACAGATGTTGGCTCAGGGCTAATCTTCCTCAGCAAAAAACAAAAAACAAAAAACCCACCTTAAACTGGTCCCAGAAAAAATGTACAAGGCTATGCCCATACTGAGCTCTCAAAAGCTTTTGTTTTGGATGTGTGATTAACTGCTTCTGTTTAATTTCTTGTGCCTTTTGAAGGGGCAGATTCACTGATGAGAAACTATTTCCACAGGTGGAAACCATTGGTGATGCCTACATGGTGGCTAGTGGTTTGCCTAAGAGAAATGGCAATCGGCATGCAGTAGACATTGCCAAGATGGCCTTGGATATCCTCAGCTTTATGGGGACCTTTGAACTGGAACACCTTCCGGACCTCCCAATATGGATTCGCATTGGAGTTCACTCTGGTATGGAGCTGAGCACTGAAGCAAATGGGAACCATATGTACCTCTGTGCACCAACTAAGTCAGAAAGGATAAAGGGTCTTCAAGTGTGACCAGTTTTCACGTGATATTTACCCTTGAATCTGTTTACCAAATATAAGCTCTTATTACACATCCTGACGTAATTAGACCCACTGCCTAGAGAGTTCTAGGAACCAACGCCTTTAACAGCACCTTTAACTCCTGGAATGATAAACACCAACCACAAACTAAAGTAACAAGCTCCAGACTGCCTATTTAAGTTATCTTATTTACTATTTCACTTGCGTCCTCTTCATTCACTCCTTCTCCCTCACCTTCAACTTCTCTATATTTTTACCCACTAAAATGTTATAGTATCTTAAATGGATTAGATTATCTACAGGGAGAAACAATAGCTAGTCAAATTTCTATAATGAAAGGGCATTTACGTCCCCCCGACTCCCCTCAGAGGTACAGAAAGTGCATGGATCTCTTCAAAGACCAGGAAAGTTACAGCCTGAACAAGAGATTTGAGAAGATGAGTTACAAATATTATAGAAAAATATAGTTAGAGAGAAACTCAGAAGTCATCCAGATTAAACCTTTACAGGGCATAAATTATCTTTATAGGTTCCAAGGTAAGTAATAATGTAGCTACTTTTAGAATAATCCCAGGATCCCATGAAAACTCACTACTTTCAAAGCCAACTCACCCCATTATTGAGTAGTTGTAATTGTTAGACAGTCTTTCCTTATGTTAAATTAAGTCACATCTCCCTATGATTTCTTTTCATTGCTCATTTTTCTGCCCTGAAAGCCTCACAGAAACCCCAAAGCACAGAAAACCTGAGCGATCACTCCAGTCTTTGTGGCAAGGACCAGATAGCTACATTCGCAAAAGTCATCCTGTATCCACGGGGCCAAGCGCAGAGCCTGACAGTAAATCAGTATTGCTTGAGAAATGAATCAGTGAGATTCTCAAAGTGACAGTAAATAGAAGTTAAAAACAACTGCCACACCTTTGACAGCGAGGAACATAGCTGTGGCCTTCCCCAATCATTTGTACAGCCAGATGTCATAGATGTTTCCAGAGACACATGAGGGAACTTCCTGGGCACCTCCCTAGCCAGCAACAGCATGCTGTCTCTTTTGTGACCTATTGCAAACTGCCAGGCCTGGAGGAAGGGGCAGCAGCAGGATGGGCTGAGCCAAGTCAGGAAGAACAGAGCTCTGGGTCCTGGCCCAACCTGTTGTCTCCTGTGATCTACTCAATGCCTTAGCTCATCGCGAGGGCCTGGGTGCTACCACATTGGGCTGGAATGACAATAGATATTAGGCACACATCCCTGGAGGGGTTTAGCCCTAAGAGATCAAAAGGTTGCAGTTCAATGTTGATAGCTGAAAACATGACATAACGTGTTCAGGGATCTTCCACTACCGGCCCTTCCCAGGTTTATCATTCCATTTTTGAAGTGAAGAGTCACTTGTAATTAGACCTACCGGAACTGAGGCACAGAAAGAGATCTTCTGATTGCTCCTTTCCTTCTATAGGTTTTTTTCTGCTTTTATTTTGATGACGTTCATTTCTTTGTTTGTTATGTACTGTCTTCATCAAACCTAACAGGGAAGGACCCGGCAGTCAGGGGAAGATCCAGTATTTGGAGTTGTTCTCAATGTTCGTAAACTCTGAGTATCTGTAAGCTAAACCTGTAAAGAAACTCATATAGATCAAAACCCAATAAGCCAACTAGAAAATCGAGAGTTGCCTCTATCCAAAACCCAGTTTTACAGTTTCCAAGTTAATTTTTAACTTCTAAAATCTTTAGCTCCTTGTGTTCATTCATTCCATCCAAATGCCTGATTGAACAACCATTCCTCTTGACCTAATATGCTATGATGCATGGTCTTGCTTCGGCTTTTGTTCTTCTCAGAATGTTCTTGTGCCACAGTTCCCCCATCCCACTGCCTTCACATGGTGCATGAAATACTCAGAGAGGGTTATGCCAAGGCCTTGTCTGCTGAGTCTTCCATCATTGTGCCACCAATCCCAGAAATGCTACTCTGACTAAAATAAAAATAAAATGAAACGAACTTGGGCCATGGAGAGCTTTGAGTACACCGTGCCCTTCAGCAGTTCAGAGCTCAGGGTTGTGTGGCTTGCCACTGTAAGCAAGCAATGAGATAATCTTTATCCTTCCTGAGAGCTTATTTTAAAATATTGAGAAGGATTTCCCCCCTTTGCAGCCTGGATCTCTGGAGGCGTTCTTGTTTAATGTAAACGTACTTTTCTGTCCTAAAGCAAAATGCTTTCTGAAAGCAGAGATTGAATAATGATACCCCCTTGTTGAAGACATTCATTAAACGCGGAAGTCACAGCTTGCTTTTCATGTCCTCAGTCACTTCTCCATGAAATGAAGCATTCAGCATGTGACCCTGAGAAGAGGTTTCCCCGCCTTAACTCCACTCTGCGATTTCTGTGACCTTCACTTCCTGCTTTCTGTCCATTCAGGTCCCTGTGCGGCTGGGGTCGTGGGGATCAAGATGCCTCGTTATTGCCTGTTTGGAGATACTGTCAACACAGCCTCGAGGATGGAATCCACTGGCCTCCGTAAGAGGGGAGATTGTTTTTCTGCTGGAGGACAAAAATTGTGTCTTCAGCAGAGGGGAACTGTAGGCTAAAATATACAATGAGGAGACACAACGTGCCCGTGACATGAAGAACAGCCCCTCACAGTGACCGAGCGTGAGCCTGTGGCAGTCTGTCCTAGCTAAATTGGCTTTGCTTATTACCATTTGCTGATCACTATTTTATGCTTCCTTTTTTGCTAAGTTTTAGTCTGTTTCTATTGGTTTGGGTTCATTTGCAGTGCATTCTGGAGTGCTCTACCTGGGGTAGTCATGAAATTTAGCAAAGATTCGTGTAAATTATAAGACAACTCAGTGTCCTAGATATGGAGTATACACCCTAGTTCACTTTCCTGTTCCTCTTTTATTTGGTTTTCCTGAGGATAGTTTTAGTAAAGAAAAGTATAAGTATTTGTTATATGCAAAAGCCTATAACACATTTGCCTGACAAGGTAGGGCCTCCAGGTGCTACATGTGGCAGATGCTCAGTAAGTATTGATGACAGTGATAGTCATAGAAATCTATACAAGAGAGAAAGCAAACATTGGTAGAGCGAGTGGAGCTTACAAAACACAAGTGGTGGAATGGTATTTTGGTGGTCTACTGACAACCTGATACTGGTTTATACTGGAGAATCATGATACAAAGGAAAGGATAAGGTTGGGATCAGACAGACTTGGGGCAAAATCATAACTATGCTAATCGTTGTCTGTATAAGTTGGGGCGAAAGTTACTTCATCTTTCTAGGCATTAGAAAGTTGAAGATATAAATTGAGAATGGGGTACCAACCTTGCCGGAAGGGTTCCTGGAGGGATTTGAGATGATATTTGTTAAGCATTTAGCAATCCTCTGACCGTGGTAGTCATACAATTTGGGGTTGTCATCATTCTTCCTATTGTTATTGTCTGTGGCACCCATAGTGGAAAAGGTGCTATACAGCAATGCACCTAGGAATGGGAACGCCTCACCACCTGTTTGTCACAAGGATAACAGTATCCCAGAAGAGTAAAATGTGAGAAAATCAGGACCCTATAACTCTCTACTGAATCTCTACCTTGCCACCAACACTTAAGCTACTCGTTAGAACTTTTATACGTGGACCTAAAACCAAATTCCAACTCTCAAGCTCAGTACCACAGACTAAATCCAAAACAAGGCCCAGGGCCTACCACGCTGAGCTGGGATGAGAATTTATAGGGCACACCCTGGGGAGCCCCTTCACTCAGGACCCTGTAAAACACTGCCAGACCCTCTTCCCATGTGTGGTCATATTTCTTATCTGCCCAATTGTATTTTTAAGTGTTTTTTCACTAAAATATGTAAGCTGTCAAGGACACCTGTAATAAATGTCCTGAATCAGGGGAAACAAATGTGGCCATATAATAGATTTAAAAATGGGCGAGATTTTCATTAATCTATTTTCCACTTCCAGCCTTGAGAATTCATGTGAGCGGCTCCACAATCTCCATCCTCAAGAGAACTGAGTGCCAGTTCCTGTATGAAGTGAGAGGAGAAACATACTTAAAGGTAAGGGAGCCACAGAGAAACTACCCAGAAATAGCGCTCAGTGACACCTGCGGGCTGCTGTCTTTGAAACTGTACATCAAACAGTCAATAATGATGAGGAGCACAGAGATGAAGAGGGCTTTTCTGTACTCCTTACAATGATCATCCGCTAGGAGAAGCCACCACCAAAGAACGTAAACCCAGAACTTTCCTTTACTCCCAAGAGCCCTTTTGATATTTTGAACTATGACCAAGATGCTATAAAATGCTGCCACCATTTCTTCTACATAGATCCAAGTTTTGTCTGCAATTCCTCCTCCAAACTCAAGAAGCTATGGTCTGGTCCAAGACATATTTAACTTAAGTCAAAGCTCCATCTCCTCACTTACTTCCTTGCTCCTACTGCAAGATGCTGCTATTCTCCCTTGCCACTCGCTTTACCATTCTGAAGCCCTGAACCAGAGAATCGCACGATGTGGCCTCTGACTTCTGACTCAGCATCATCTGGGTCCTTGTTAAAAAGCAGATGCCTAGACTCCACCAGGCCTACTGAGTAAGACTGTCTGTGAGTGTAGATCAGGAATCTATATTTTCGAAAAGTATTCGAAGTGATCGTGTTGCACACTGAAGTTTGAGAATCACTACTCTAGACTCTCCATGTGTTCCTCATATTTAGAACACCTGCCCTCTGGAGCCACCAAATGTCTCCAATTGGCTCTCAGGCTGCTTTTCAAAGATCATTACAGTCTTTTCACAATTGGTCTGAAGCCAACTATTGACTATAAGACTATCTGTCTGCAGTAGCCGCGGGACTTCTAGCCTTTACGCTGGGATTGAAATTGGGAAAGCCTCTTTTTATGTGGAAGTATCCTAACATCACACTCATTTTCAGAGTCCTCCATAAGTGCATTTTCTGCACAGAGCAATTCCCCCCAAATAGAAGTGGTTTATGGATTACTGTCACCCAAACATAGCCAGCAAACCACTATTTTTTAAAATGAATGATTTTTAAATATATAACCATCCAGTCTCCTTTTCAAATACAAGCTCTAGCAAAATCGGGATTTCCAATAAGTTTCTATTGATTTTATAGACTCCAGATGGGCCTAACAAATGTCAGTTAATGAATGTTTATTATGATGCCCACGTGTTTATAATGTACACACTTAACGTGGGGAAACTGGCAAAAGTTTTGAGGCAAAATTTTGTGGCACAAAGGGCTAGAAGAAAATGTGGGTGATGGAAGCTGGTTGAATTTGTGGGTGTAGCAGGATTGTAGATGAATTTTTTCTTAATTTAGAATTCTTGTGATGTTGCTATAATGATATTTTGAAATACCTTTTGGAAAAAAAGAAAACTCTACTTGGAAAAAATGTGTCTAGTGAATAAGAGACTTATTTTTAAAAAGGCACTTGGAAGTAAAGATCTGTCTAGAGATAATGTAAGTCATGTTGGCAACGTGTGCTTACTGAAATACAGGCACTGATGAGAAACGTAGAGGTCAAATGTCCCCTGGGAACATATGCTTGTCAGAACAGTGGGCTAGAACTGAACTGTCTTCTTGGCCTCTATGGTACACACATTTCTTGTCTCACTAGGGAAGAGGAACTGAGACCACCTACTGGCTGACCGGAGTGAAGGACCAGGAGTACAACCTGCCAACTCCTCCTACTGTGTAAGATGCTGGGTGCGGCCGGAAGGGACAGGGGAGTGGAGGTCTTGGCTTTGTAAGATGTGCTACATATAGTCAATTTAATTGTTGGCGAGTGCTTTGCTAGTGGCAATGATGTGCTGAATACAAGGCCAGGGACTACATACATGAGAAGATTAGAAACCTCTCTTCTCTGGCTGCTAACAATTGGGTGTTCCAGGCATGCTCAGGAGAACAGAAAGTCGTTGAGGGCTCACCTTCTGCACATCTGGTTCCGACAAGAGTAGAGCATGCTGGAGGCAGGGCCACTACAGTTCTGGGTCTCCACATGGGGTTTGTGTTCTCCCTAAGAAGAGGAAGATAAGGTTTCAGGTCTAACTAGCAGGTTTCAGTTCCCCTCAAGGTGACTTAGATGGTCAAACAGTTGCACATTTGTTGCGGCAATCAGTCGTGTGACTGTTGCTGTGGCTTTTGCTATGGTGGAGAAACCCTGTCTTGCAAACTCCTAGATACTGGACCCAGGCAGATGGCCAGCCTGTAGAGATGCCAGAACAGCCCAGATCTTCTCTGGGGCACAGGTGACGAGCCCCTTACTAGGAGTGCCCCAGATCTGTTCCAAACTCTTGAAGCCCTCCATCCATTCTGAGCCCTCCACACACAAGGCGTACACTCCTAGGAATGTGTGGGACCAACAAATTTTCAGGGTTGTGCTACAGGAGCCTAGCATTGTTCTGGCTTCTTTCTCACTCCCTGCAGTGGCGTGTGTAAACCTAAACACGCCTCCAAATTCTAGCCGCATCCTGTTACACTTTGAAATTGAAATATAATTTTCTACTTGAAATATTCTGCTTTTTCTAGAACTACAGAGAGCAGGGATGACAGGTCTTTAAGCTCATCAAAGGCAAGGCTCATTTCGTATTCTCTGGACCTCCTGTGTTGAGCACAGAATAAGCATTCAATAAGTATTTGGTAAAATCAACTGATTGTACTGGAGCCAAGGAATACTCTGTATGGATTGCTGAGAAGTCCCATTTTCCCTCCCCACTCTCTTTCCAGGGAGAATCAACAACGCCTGCAAGCAGAGTTTTCGGACATGATTGCCAACTCTTTACAGAAAAGACAGGCCTCAGGGATAAGAAGCCGAAAACCAACTCGGATAGCCAGCTACAAAAAAGGCACTCTGGAATACTTGCAACTGGACACGACAGACCAGGAGAGCACCCATTTTTAAACATAAATGAGGTCCAAGGACTCAGGCAAATGAAGGACAGCTGCACTGAGGCAGTGGCCTCAACTGTCCTAAAAGCATCGTTTCCCTGAGACCTCGGGGGACCAGAGGAAGACGTAGATGCATTGCACTTAGCCTTGGCTGCCCTGCCTGGAACAGAGACTCGCTCCTGTGAATCAGATGTGCACACTCAGTGCGATAATTCCCTTTCACTCTGGAATCTGATCTCAACGGTTGCTCCAGGGAGCTTCAACCCAGGAAAGAAGAGGAAAGAACGTACCATGTCGAAGTTGAAGAGATTTTGTCCTTATTTGTTTTGTTTTTGTTTTGTTGTGTTTACTGGCTCTTTTTCATTCTGTATTCATGATAAGATTTTTTAAAATTGTCACAATTGTATTTTAAGTAGCTTATCTCCATTAAATTATATTTAACTCATAATTTTTGCAGAAAATATGCTATATATTAGGCAGAAATAAAAGTTAGAGGTTTACTGAGTGTGTGTATGTGTTTTCACCTATTCCACCCATTTTCCTGGAATGCACCAGCCATCATTTTGTGCTCGCTGAAAATCTGATTAAATTTCCCCATACTGAAGCAAGGCAAAGCTAGCACTGTCACTCAGGGGTAGAACCTTCTGTATTGCACGAGGGAATTTTGTGTCTAGCCTTCTCCTGTGAGAGGCAGGGCCTGCAGCTGTCTTGGGTCTGGGAGAAAGTCAAATTCTGTTTACCTGTAAGACACAGTACTTCAAACTCTTCAAATATCTCCTCCTGCCATCCAGCAGCCATCTCCTGCCCCTTCTTAGATCATCCCAGCATGACTCATTTGCTTGAAGTCTCTAGGAAAATGACAAGTCAACTGGTGGTGAGTAGACTAGAATCAACAAAGGCAAGAATACACATATAGCACTTCTGACATTAACCTTCCAAACTAGACCAACTGCCCCAAACACATTGCTCCTCTCCAAGGCCACTGCCGTGAAAACCCCTCCAGAGATTAAGAAACATATTGTGTCTTCTCCATCACCTGGAAAACCAGAAAATCAAAAAGTAGTAAAGTATGTCCTGATTTATAGATTGAGCACTTAACATGCAGCAAGAGTCCTTACTTGGAATCTGAAGGTTTATAATCTGTCTCTGCCTCGACGTCCAGCACAAGGAGACTTTCTGCATGGGGATGAGATGGTGACATGAACGTTCTTGGTCGTTCATTCAGTAAACATACATTGAGCATCTCCTCTTATTCCAGGAACTGGATTTGGTGTTTGAGGTATAGAAACATGGTCTCTGTCAAGTTTTGAATCTTATAGGAGAGAAATGTAAAACGGTAAGTGGGTTTGGGAACCAGCAGCATTCTTGACAACATGCAAACATAGCAACTCCAACACTGACTAGAAAAACTCAAAATCATCTTTAATGTTAATGGGGCATTGATGAAACAACTTCTCAATTGAAGGCTCCAGGATTTGTCTTCAATTACAGAATCAACATGATTGTGAAACATTTATTGACCTTTAAATAGACGTGTGGCCTCAGCTTGCCCACTTAGCAATGTGGACATGTGATCCCAGTGATAACAGTGACTAAGAATGAGACCCAGGCGAGGGTCAAATTCCGGCACTGCTGTTTCCTAGCTATAAATTAGTTAATGTCTCCAAGCCTCTGGTGTTTCATCAGTAAATCATGAGTCACAATATCCACGTCAAAGAGTTGTTACAAAGATTTTTTTTTAAAAGAAATTTTTCAAGCACCAAGCAGAGTGTCAGTTACGCAGAAGTTCTCAACAAATATCCTCTAACCTTCAACTTTTCCCTTCTCTCTCCACCTGCTTTATAAATCAGAACTAAAAGATTGCAAACCCAGGACTTCCATGGGCACGAAGGATACATAAGATGGCTTATTTTTAACAATTGATTATAGAATTCTTCAAATGTAAACAAAAGCAGAGGGACTAGCTCATGAATCCCCATAAAGTCATTACCAGTTTCAAGAATGATCAATATTTTCCCAACCTTGTTTCATCTATCTTCCACCAACCTTGTTTGTTTTGCCAGATTATTTTAAAGGAAATTCCAAATATCATGTCTTTCACCTTTGAAACCTCAACACATCTTTTTAACACAGGATTGACAAACTTTTTCTGTAAGGGCTGGATAGTAAATATTTTAGGCTTTCGGAGTCAGGCTGTCTCTGTTGCAACTATTCACCTCTGCTGTTGTAGTGCATGAACCAGCATCAACAATAATTAAGCAAACGGATGTGCTGTGTCCCAATAAAACTTTATTTACAAAAATAGATGGTGGGATGTAGTTTGCTCACCCTCGCTCTAGCAGATAAGGGTTTTTAAAAACATAACCAAAATGCCATTATCACACCAAATGAAATTAATGATAATTCCTTAATTAACTAGTGACAAGTCCATATTTATTAAAAATTTCTCTGGTTGTTTTTTTTTCTCATTTAGTTTGTTCAAATAAAAAAGGTCCATCAGTTGCATGTGGTTGAAATATCACTCTAGTCTCTTTTAGCATATACTAGTTTACACATACACACTTTTTCTTCCATGACATTTATTTGTTGAAGAAACTGTCACTTTCCCTACATGGTAAGTCACACATGGAATTTAGCTGATTGATTACTTATGGTTGTGTTTCATTTGTTCTTCTATTTTCCATATTTCCTGGAATCTGGTAGTAAGATCTAGAGGATTATTAGATTCAGGTTCAATATTTGCTGGAGATACTTTATAAAGGCAGTCTCCTGAAGGAGAATTTAGGTGTGGAGAATAATACTTGAAATTCCAGCTCTGATTGTATCAATGATGAGACTAGATTACGATGCCACATTTGACACAAGTTCTAATCTCTCTCTCTCACCTTAAACCCCCAGAATGACAGAAAAATTAATTATATAAAATATTGGGAAACAGGAAAGAATGACTTGAGTGGGCCAGAAACTATGAGGAACACCTAAAAGACAGAAAGAAGATGGGATCAGACTAAATGACGCAATAGTAGCCCAAAACAATCATGGAAGAGGACTAATGGAAAAGGTTCTTGGAGGTGCTCCAAGCCCAGAGAGAGTAGACAAAGGGGCAAGAGAGAATCTTAGTGTAACTGTCAAGGTTACTAGCTGGGATCCAGTTGTAGCAGCCAGTTGTTTTGGCCCCTGCCCTCTCCTTCCCAGCAGAAGATGTCAAAGGCATCTCTTCTTAGATGGGAATCATGACTGTAGGCATTTGGATATCTAATCATGTTCAGAAAGAATCAGGGAGCTCCAGGTCCAGAAATTTACTGACATTCCCCATGTAGCAACTTATCTGCCCATCCTCACAATCTCGGCTATGAAGAAAAACATACATAGAACTCGCAGACAGGCTAATTAGAAATCTCAAATACAAAGAACCAAGAACAGCTAATTTGGGGGGAAATGAAAGAGAGATACCAATCTCAAAAGAGAATTAACAGAAGTTAATAAGGCAAATAGAAAGAGCTTTAAACTATGTGTATCTAATATTCCAAGATAAATATGAGTGGATATTGCATCTATTAAATAAAAGATATGCAGTGATTTTGGTAATTTAAATTTTAAGCATTGAAATTTTTTTAATGCAGTAGATAAATTGAAGAGAAAAGCAAACCCAGCTGAGGAGAGAGTTATGAAGCCAAAATTAAAGTTGAGAGTGTTTCCAGGACAGAGATGAAGAATAGATATATATAACTTATAAGAGATGTAGGACAGATCAAGATATTCCAATATTGTATAAATGGAGTGTTCCAGAAGGGGAAAACAGAGGCAATAGACAAAAAATAGGAGGAGAAATATTCAGAATTGAAAAAAAAATGTCACCCAGAGGTGAATTTAAAAATAAAACAGACCCACACATAGACACAGGTAGTGAAACTGTGAAACATTCTAAAAATTTTCAGACAAAGAAAAAAATACAAAGTGGCAAGAATTAGATGGGCATTAGATTTTTCACCAAAAACACTAAATGTAGAAAGAACATTTATCAATAGCTTCACACCTCTGAAGAAATATGCCTATAAAGAAAGAATTATTTTCATACATGCAAGAGCTCAGAAAGTTTATCAACAGTGAATTCTATGTAAAAGAAGTCCAAAAGGAAGTACTCTGTAAAAACAAGAAATAAATTTAAGACAGGAAATCCTGGAGTCAATTTTTTTTTTTTTTTTTTTTTTTTTTTTGCTGAGGAAGATTCCCCCTGAGCTAACGTCTGTTGCCAATCTTCCTCTGTTTTGTATGTTAGTCACCATCACAGCCTGGCCAATGATAGACAAGTGGCGTAGGTCCGCACCCAGGAACAGATCACAGGCCGCTGAAGCAGAGTGTGCCAAACTTAACCACTAGGCAACCAGGGCTGGCCCTAGAATCAACTTTTTTATTCCTTTGGATATAGACTCCTCTTTAAAACACACAAGTCTGGCTTAAAAAATATTAGAGCAATAACACAACTAAATCAATTAGCTGTGTGTTTTATCTGTTTAGTACTAGACATACAGTATAAAAAAGTGAATCAGGACTTAAAAAAAATGAGAAAAGGAGTTTTGCCCTATTCTCTTTTCCTGTAATCCTTTAGAAAACAATGAAAATAAACTATAGAGGACAAAACTCTCTCTCTGAAGAAACAAGAAATGCTCAAAGTTTTAAACTGCAAAATATGATTCATACTTGTTCAAAAACTGACATGTGGAACAAAATAAGAGGGAAACCTTGAGCCAGCGCCTCCTTCTTCAGACCTCAAGCAGAAAAGATACTACCTGCAAGGTTCATCTCACTATCCCAAAAGGCTGGTCTGTTACCTCTGGGTTAGGTGGGTTACCTCTGGGTTAGGTGGGTTACCTATGGGTTAGGCCATGAAGAAGCAGGAAATGAACTTGTAAATGTTTTGAAAACCTCAGCATGGCAGAGAAAATAGAAAGTGTGTTGACATGGTATTTCTAGGTCTACAACATAATATCCTACTGGAAGGAGATACGAGAAGCAAAGCAGAGGAAGGAGGCAGGGGAAGGCAGTAATCACCCTAGTGATTTCAAAAGGCTCAGCTATGAGTTTCGTTAACCATTCAATGAACACATTCAATGCAGTCAAATGGAAATATAATGTCAGCCATATATGTACCTTTCCTAACTTTTATTTTGAAAAATAATAGATTCATATGATGTTGCAGAAATAGTACACAGAGGACTTCTGGTCCAGACAAGATGGCATAGACTCATTTCTCCCTGATCTTCCCCTCTACGAATAACTATAAATTCATGCTATAACACAAGAAACAATTAAAGGAGAAATCAGAAAGATGGAAAGAGGAAGACAGACTTGTTAGGGCAGAACAACATGGTAGCAGAGATCCCTCCACCCAACAAAAGAAGATAAGCCAGGCCCAGCATTTTTTGACCACCAACAGATCACCAGAATTGTTTTTGCAACTTTGTCAAAATTGGTTGACCATACTTGAGTGACTCTGTTTCTGGGTTCTCTCTTTATGCCATTGATCTATGTGTCCATCCCTCCTCCAGTGCCACATAGTCTTGATTATTGTAGCTATATAGTAAATCTTAAAATCAGGCAGAATGCTTCATCCCACTTTATTCTTCTTTTGTAAACTCATTTCAGCTATTATAGTTCTTTTGCCTTTCCTCACAAATTTTAGCACACGCTTGTCTATAGCTACAATAAAACTTGATGGGATTTTGATATCATTTATATCAAACCAACATATCAATTTGGGGAGAATTGACATCTTCACTGTGTTAAGTTTTCCAGTCCATGAACACAATAGGTCTCGTCATTTATCTAGGTCTCTTTTCTTGTATGTAATTTAAGTGTTCTAGTAGTCACATTTGTAAAATGTAAAAAGAAACAGGCAAATTACTTTAATAATATATTTAAGTAAACCAGTATTTTCAAAGTATTATCATTTCAGCATGAAATCAATAAAATTATTGAATATTTTTCATTTTTATGTCTTTAAAAGAAGTGCATATTTTACAGTTACAGAACACCTCAATCCAAACTAGTCACATTAAAAGTGCTCAATAGTCACATATTGCTAGTTACTACTAACTGTTAAGCAACACTGTAGAATGCCAGAAACTGGGAGACATTTTTTTTTACAAAGAAAGGAAAAGACAGTGTGAGAGCAAGAGAGTCTATTCACACTCCCAAAGACAACCAGATACAGACATGACATACATTTTGAAACTATCTAATTGGGAATTTTAGACAACTGTAATTAATATGTTAAAAGCTCTGAAGGAAAACATGGACAACGTGCAAGTT